CCCGCCACCCATATCCACAGGTCCCTTCTCTATGTCTATGTCTCTATTCCTGCCCTGAAAATAGGTTCATCAGTGCTATTTTCTAGTGACCTAAATGCTTTTTGTACACCATCCCATTTAATCTTTACAGCAGCCTGGTCATTAGGTGTTATCAACAGGTGGCAGTTAAAATTTGAATTAAAAGGACTCTGCCTCATAACATTGCCCATCTTGCATAATTACTTGAATTATCTTTTTTCCTAAAGTTAAATTTTAAAAGAAATTTTGCTGAAGTAGTATATTTAAAAACATAGTGTCAGAACACTGGGAATGGGTGTCTAAATTCTAGCTGGTTGGTTGGTCACTTTTCAATCAAGGAGCCACATCTGTTTCCTTCTGAAACTGAAAACATTTTTGTAGTTATTTTATAGTTTATATTGTATATCAGATTGTCATTTGTAGGCAGCGCATTTCAGGCAATGGATAGATAAATTACTCATTTAGATACTTCACAGTGCCTAAGCTTTTTTCTCTGGAGGACCAGGAATGCATGCTGGCCAGTGACAAGTCTTCCTGATTGGCTTTCATTAAAAGAGCCTTTGTGCTTACCTTTGAGGTGCTTTGTTTAACTTCTAGTTTGACTTAGGGAAGCATCTACTTTTAACCTCACATGATCAGAGGATAACTCAGAGGCACACATATGGGTATACTTTGTTTTTTTACAATAGATGCTCATTTTCCATATAACTCTCTATATATCTCTCTATATATTAGTTCAGCCATGGATTTTTCCACAGCTGCCATTTTAAAGTGAGCAATACTGCAATACTAGCCCACCAGTTTGAAATTGCCAGTCATCTGCCTGTCTCTGTTTAACTGAACTCTTAACTCCACTGGGGTGACCATCACTCTTAGCAAAAAATGCTAGAACAGTGTTGTCTGTTGTGATCTCTCCATTTTCATTTCTAATTTTATTAATTTGGTTCTTCTCCCTTTGTTTCTTAATGAGTCTTGCTAATGGTTTGTCAATTTTGTTTATTTTTTTCAAAAAAACCCAGCTTTTAGCTTTGTTGATTTTTGCTATGGTCTCTTTAGTTTCTTTTGCATTTATTTCTGCCCTAATTTTTAAGATTTCTTTCCTTCTACTAACCCTGGGGTTCTTCATTTCTTCCTTCTCTAGTTGCTTTAGGTGTAGAGTTAGGTTATTTATTTGACTTTTTTCTTGTTTCTTGAGGTAAGCCTGTAATGCTATGAACCTTCCCCTTAGCACTGCTTTTACAGTGTCCCATAGGTTTTGGGTTGTTGTGTTTTCATTTTCACTCATTTCTATGCATATTTTGATTTCTATTTTGATTTCTTCTATGATTTGTTGGTTATTCAGAAGCGTGTTATTTAGCCTCCATATGTTTGAAGTTTTAACATTTTTTTCCTGTAATTGAGATCTAATCTTACCGCACTGTGATCAGAACAAAAGGCATCACTGCAGGTAAAATGGTTAATCTGTATTTGTGGCTGTACAGCTAAAATGATAGGAAAAAATGCTAGAAAGTTTATTTAAGTTCATGCTGGCCTACAGGGTCAGCATTTCCAGGGATGCTTTTGGATCTGGTTCTGATGGTTCTCATGTTATTCATTATGTTGAAGCAATTTTGGCTGATAGGGTCAGGGCTCCACTACTGGTACTTCTAGGAAACTGTAAGCTCCACAAAGTCAGGGACCATCTTCTCTTTCCTGTCTTTGGGTCTGTAGCCAACAAAGGAAGGAATAGTTGCTGAATATTAATTAAATAAACGAAAGAAGTAGTACCACCTGAAGGAATTGCTGTCTTGGTTTGGGCAGTGGTCCAGGAGATGGTGATCCACATTCAGAAGCAATTTTCATGGCATGGGTGGCCCAGCTGCATAAAGGTGTGTCTCTACAGAAATCCTAGGCAGAGGTGTTGGTCATGGAATACACTCTTGCTATCTGACAGCCTCCATGGTGGCTGTAAGAGGAGGATATTAATTGGTGAATTGTACAACACTTTCACTATGAGTCACAAACTGAGTCCATGCAGAGTCCCTTGTAGAATTGCATTCTCCAATTTTTGAGAGTGGAAGACAAGATTGTGACCTATGACTTCTTCTGTGGCTCTTTGCTGACCGATGGACAAGAGTTTGAGCAGACTCCAGGAGTTGGTGATATACACGGAAGCCTGGTGTGCTGCAGTCCATGGGGTCACAAAGAGTTGGACACAACTGAGTGATTGAACTGAACTGATGACTGTGATTCTTGAATTTGTTTCCATGGATTCTAATGGGGCTAAGCAATTAAAAACCATAAGCATATTCAGAATTTAAAATATCCAGTCATGTCAAGAAAGATTAGGTAAAACTACCAGAGAATAGGTAGAATTTATGTGTTTATTTTTACGGGATATTTTGGACACATAAATTGTGGATTGTGACACAGATTATAGTGAATTTTTTGCTGAATCATCTAGAACAGTATTTCCAAGCCCCAATGCATAGTCAGATGCCTTGAAGATCTTATTAAACTAAAGATTCTGACTCACTTGTTCAGATGGGGACTGAGAGTTTATATTTCTAATCAGTTCTAGGTGATATGGATGCTGCTGATCAATGCATTAATCTCAGTAACAAGATTTAGGATACTGTTTCTCAAACTTGGCTTCACGCTGGAATCAGAAAAATGCCAGGGAGTTTTAAAAGATACTGATGCCTGGGTCTCAACCCTAGAGATTCTGATTTACTTGATGAGGGGGGATGTGGCCTGAACTTTAAGGTTTATGAAAAGCTCCCTAGGAGATTCCAGTGAGCAACTGATTGGAGAATTGATGCTGTCAGATTGCTTTTAATTTCCTTTTGAGAAAAAAAATATTGATTTTAGGCATCAAATCTTATACTTTTTCCTTGCAGGTTGCAGCAATCTACAAGGACTCAAGTATTGGAAATCTTATAAACATAGTAATTGTAAAATTAGTTATAATTCATGATGAGCAGGTAAGAAACAGTTCTAAAATTAATATTCCTAGTTGTAGTAGGCTCTTGGCAGGAATATATGTATGTCGATCATGAAATGGGATAATTGAAAAATACATGTTAAAAATCTTGATTCAGAAGGGAATGAGGTTGACTTTTTCCATCATGATGGAAATGAAATGACAACAGAGGAAGTCTCAGAAAGTAATAAACAATTTAAAAAGTTAAGGTTGATAACAATCAGGTATTCACTTTTTATAATTCTACTGTTAGATTTAAAATATGAGAATTTTTAGAGGTTATTTTTTGATCCAAAATATTGGATGCTTACCTTGAGAAGCATCTAATTCAATTCTGTTTTGATCACAGTGGTTTAAGGATTGCTAAAATATGTTTGAGGTATGAGGGAGCAATGAAGTGACTTCTTCATTTGCCTATAAAAATGCTGTTTAATGAATTGCATAAACACTGACCAGTCTGGAAGGGAGAGGGCATGAATGTTTTGATGTGATATTGAATTGCTGATTTTTTTTGTGTGTAGGAAGGACCAGTCATCAGTTTTAACGCAGCTACCACATTACGCAACTTCTGTTTATGGCAACAAACTCAGAATGTTCTTGACGATGCCCACCCATCCCACCATGATACTGCTGTTCTTATCACAAGGTACAGTTCTAGAAATAACCCTGCCAATGAAATTGCTTACCCTTTCTCTCCTGCATGGTCACTAGTACTTCTTGTTACCTTAATTCTTTCTCAGTAGTACACAGTAGTGTTCTTGAGAGAGAACTTGTATTATGAAAGATACCCTTGAATGAAAGCATTCTTCTGTTTCTTTCAGACCAGAGCACTGGCCTGATTTCCTTAGGAAATTAGCAGCATTAGGTTGCTAAGTAATGGCTTGACCTAAACAAAATGATTTCCTTATTATGTTAGTGACAGAATAACAGAATTAGGAAAATTATTTGAAAATTAACATAGTTATGGAACTGAGAATGCATTTTGTTTCTTCCCTATTTGACCTTCCAGTCGCTTGGTAAAGAAAGCCTCTGAATTTATTTTGGACTCCTTATACTTTAAGAAAAAAATCTATCTGCTCCGGTTTTGTTGCTCAATGCATATCTAATTACCGGGCTGCTTTTGCTAGGCTTTTTCTCAACCCTATTTATTTATATGAAGGAGCTGCTATTATTATAAAATGATTATTTTACAGGTACATGGTTAATTCACACTGTTGTTTTAGCAACCGTCATGGTATAAGAATCCCAGGTTTGTAGTTTGTTTTGCTTGGTTGGTTGGCCAAAGGGGAAAAAAAATCTTTTGCTTGAAGGTCAGACTCAGAGAAATTTTGACTTTCTAGAACCCTGAAATGAAAACCAGTCAATGTAAAACAACTGACACAGTCCATGTGCTTTATCTGTTTTCCAAACTAAAGCAGAATTGACTCACATTTATACACTGTATTCGAATGCCCTAGGTTAAGGCCAGAGATAACAGATTAAAATGGGAGGGAAGAAAAGGGCTCTAAGAGGAGACCACGGGGAAAGAGACTAGAGAACTGTCATATTGAATGGTTAGAGACTGAGTAATGCAGAAGCAAAAAGTTTAAGCAACTTGGTAACATTTGAGAACATCATTATTTTGCAGCAGAGAATAATAGCTGAAGTTCATAATGATATTGAAATGTCAAGAAAAGAGTATTACATATACTACCGCAAAGGTAAAGGCAGAGAGGTGAAAAATACATTAAGAAAGCTTTTCATTGAAATTGATTAAGCTCCAGCTATTTATAGCAGTCACTTTTATACTGTACCTATTTGCTTATTGGTGTGCAAAAATGGTGCATTACTCTAGATTTAAACTTATTGAGAGCTTGAGAGAACTAGATCTTATAAGTCAGTTTAGGGCAATAGAGATGTCAAAATTAAAGCTTTTTTATCTTTGCTTTGGCTTGTTGCAAAAATATTTTCTGAAATGCTTCAAAATCTTTTGTTTTAAGGGAAGACATTTGTGGAGCTAGAGAGAAATGTGACACGTTAGGTAAGTTATTTTGTAAATATAGCTTATATAATTGTTTATCGAATTATTTAGGATGATGTTTAGATTATCTTTCTTTTAATTTATATTAATCATTTTGTTTAGTTGTCTTGATTAATGATTATAGTGTCACTATTATTTGATTTTTGCTTCTATAAGTTATAAAGAATATTAGGAACTACTATTTTTATAACAATGACTAAATATCAAGTGCTGTGCAAAGCTTGACATATTTAAAGTATTTTATTGTGTATCATTTGATCCATACAAAATAGTACAGAACAACTTATATGCAAATTTAAAGCAAGAAAAAGAAAATGAATAGCCATGAATCCACTATCAGATTTATGAATTAGGATTAAGAATTAGAAATTTAGCAGTACTGTTCTATGGCCTGTGCTAAGTCCTTGTTCTAGCCCTTGCATTTCCCCAAGAGATAACCAGTTGCATAAATTTTATATGTGCCAGTTCCTTCCATTTTTTGGAAAAATAGTTTAATAGCACTTGTATGTATTCTTAAAAGAAATTGCTTGATTATGCTTATTTTTGAGCTTTAGTTCATGCATTTTCACTATTACACAATATTTCAACCGCGGTTCACATGTCTTTATTCTGTCAGTGAATATTTGGGTTGATTCCAGCTTTTTTCTATTAGGAACTTTATTATAAGACATTTTCCTAAGATTAGAATTTCATGTCATTAAGTGTGCTCATGTTCAACTTTATAAGATACACCAAATTATTTTCTAAAGTGGTACCAATTTACATTTTTTATCAATAGTGTATAAGCATTCCTTTTGATTATATTCTTATCAATACAAGAAATCTTCAAATTCCTCATTTTTGCCAATCTAAATTTAATGTATTTCATTATAGTAGTAATTTTTAGTTCTCTGGTCACTAATGAGTCTGGACATCTTTTTATATATTTACTAGCCATTTATGTATCTTTTCTGCGAGGAATGAAATAAATGAAAAAACATTGCCAGTTTTTCTGCTGCAGTACTTTTCATTTTCTTATGCCTTTTAGTGCTCTTTATAACTTCTTGATACCAAACCCTTTTTGGAGTATATGTATCGTAAATATCTCTTAATGATTAGCTCCTTAGAGATTATTGTTGTGTTTGTATGAAAATGTATGCTGTAGCTGAATTTATAACTTTAGAGTTAGAAATTTTATGTCTTATTAATGAAATTATAGCCTTCTAAGTCTTCTCTATTGCAAAATCTGAATGTATTATTCTGTTTTCTCATAAGGATTTAAAAATGTGTCCTTTCACATTTAAATCTCTATACTATTTGAGTTTCTTTTGATATGGTATCAAATAAGGCTCCAGTTTTGTAAAATTCTTTTCTGCGTGGATATCCAATTTCCTGAGATCATGTTTTTATTAGTTTCCTAGAATTTGCAATGCCTTTCCTTAGAATCTGCAATGCCACATATAAAATTTCTATTTGTACTGGCATGTGCAAACATCCTGCTGTTTCATTAATCAATACTTTTTATTTAGTTCATCTACCAATTCCATAAATTCAAATTATATAGCTCTATAATAAATAATCATAATTCATAAAGTATATAACTCCATCTATTTTTCTTCAATAGTTTGTGGCTATTCTTGGACCTATGATCTCCTATAAAAATTTTAGACCAGTATGTTAAGTCATTATGAAACAATTATCTATTTATGAAGGTCTTTTAAAATATTTTTTAGTAGTATGTATTATTTTCTTTCAGAGTTTATCATGCCCAACTTTCATTTACCTCTTTTATTAGTGTATTGGTGTATGATGTTGATTGATAGAAATATGACAAATTATTTGCATTATTGATTTTAAATATAGACAACTGATTCATTAATAATCTCATAATTTACCTGTGGGCATTTATGTCTTCCCCTTCTTCAATCCTGATAATAGTCTTTCCTTTTTTTAAAATCTTTTTCTTTTCCTTGTTTTTTTTTTCCTTGTCTTTTAGTAAGAGAAAAACCTTGTTGAATGTTGAATAGAAATGATGATGATAGCCTTTTTTTCCTGGATTTTAAAGGGAATATTTGTAAAGTTTCACCACTAGGAACAATGTTTGCCATAGGTTCTTCTTGGCTGATAAACTTATCATAATTTTCTGAAATATAGAAAATGTATACTTTTTATTAAAATTTTTTTGCAGACCTAGAAATGATGATGTGATTATTTTAATCTTATGAATTCCTTTTATGAGTTTTGTAACACTAAACCAATCTTGATTAAGGTTTTTTCTTTCTTTTTTTTGTTTCTAAACACACCACTAGATTTCATTCCATGCATATATTTTCAGGAGTGAAATGACCTTCCTTTGATTGTGTTTGTCTGATTTTGATACTGTGAGGAGAGAGCAAATTAGCCAAGGTGGCCTGGTCAGGCTCTCTCACTGCAGGTTTTGTAAATAATAACTATGTAACAACTGAGATCACTTATAGCACTGCACATGGGCATCACTTGGTCACAAGCTGCGTTATGCCTTACGCCCATCAGAGCTTCGCCATAGAAGCCCTAGCTGCTATGGCATTGGGGCTACGTTGGAGTGGCATCATGGTTATGTTATATGAGGTTATGTCATGGCTATATTACTGCTGCATTATGGTTATGTTGTGGCTGCTGCTCCGACTGCTGCGTGAGTCAGGAGAGTGGCTGTGTTATGACTGCCGTGCCAGCCAGGAGAAAATAAATGTGTCTGTAGTTCCTACAGCTCCTTCCAGCCTCTTAGCTCACGCCTTGTCTAGCCTGGGTTCAGCAAAAAGTGCAGACAGTGTGAACAGTGAGACAGTTGGTGTCATGAGTAGGAACAGCAACACAGATACCAAAGTTTTATTCATCAGGCCAAATTTGTTGGGAGTATATTGTTTCTTTTCCCATTCTCTCCCATTTAATTTCTCCAAGAATAATCAGACTTAAAAAAAATCTTTTTGAATGTGCTTTAAAAACTGTTTTTCTAGATATTACACCGTTTCTTTCAGTAGTAAAATTTGTAACTTATTCTCTTAGCATTTTCTTTTAAACTCTCGTCTATAGCTGTCTACAAGCCTCATTTTATTTCTGATATCATTTGAACTTCTTTAAATGGATAAATTTCATTGAAAAATTGTCTATTACATTTGTCTTTTTTTGGAGGAGCAACTCTTTTCTTTTAATCTCATTTTTATTTCTTTAATTTGTGCTTTCTCTCTCTCATATTTCCCCAATTTGCTTATGCTTACTTAGCTGAAACCACCCCCCCAAGTTTTTCTTTTATAATTTTGTTGTTTAAGACTACCTATTTACTTCAAGGTATCATTTTGCTATGTCCTACATGTTTTTATAGATATTTTCAATGACATTTAAAATTAAAAAAATCTAAGTATGTATAAATCCATCATGATTTCTTCACTTATTAACTAGACTTATTAGTTTAGAAATGCATTTAAAATTTTATGAATGTATCGAGATTTACTGTTTTTTATTGAATTGCATTGTAGTTGCAGAACATGATCTATGTGATGCCCATTCTTTGAAGTCTTTTGATGTCACCTGTTGGTCTATTGTTCAGTCACTCAGTCATGCCTGACTCTGTGCGACCCCATGGACTGCAGCACAGCAGGCTTCCCTGTCCTTCACCATCTCCCAGAGCTTGCTCAAACTCATGTCCATTGAGTTGGTGATGCCATACAACCATCTCATCCTCTGTCATCCACTTCTCCTCTTGCCTCTGTATTTCCAAGCGTCAGGGTCTTTTCCAGTAAGTTGGCTTTTCACATCAGGTGGCCAAAGTATTGGAACTTCAGCTTCAGCATCAGCCTTTCCAGTGAATACTCAGGACTGATTTCCTTTAGGATTGACTAGTTTGATCTTGCAGTCCAAGGGTCTCCCAAGAGTCTTCTCCAACACCACAGTTCAAAAACATCAGTTCTTAGGTGCTCAGCTTTCTTTATGGTACAAATGTCACATCCATACATGACTATTGGAAAAACCATAGCTTGGTCTAGATGGACCTTTGTCAGTAAAATAATGTTTCTGCTTTTTGAAATGCTGTCTAGGTTTGTCATAGCTTTTCTTTCAAGGAGCAAGTATCTTTTAATTTCAAGGCTGCAGTCACCATCTGCAGTAATTTTGGAGCCCAAGAGAATAGTCTGTCACTGTTTCCATTGTTTCCCCATCTATTTGCCATGAAGTGATGGGACCAGATGCCATGTTCTTAGCATTTTGAATGTTGAGTTTTAAGCCAGTTTTTTCACTCTCTTCTTTCACTTTCATCAAGAGACTCTTTATTTCTTCTTTGTTTTCTGCCATAAGGGTGGTGTCATCTGCATATCTGAGGTTATTGATATTTCTCCCAGCAATCTTGATTCCAGCTTGTGCTTCTTCCAGCCCAGCGTTTCTCATGATGTACTCTGCNTAGACTGGAATTCACCTTCCAGGAGTCTTCCTTAGATTTTTTTGATAAAACACTTTTATGGATGCAAGAGTGTTTAAAACAAAAAAAAAAAAAAAAAAGAGGAAAGCAATAGAATGGGAAAGACTAGAGTTCTTTTCAAGAAAATTAGAGATACCAAGGGAACATTAATGCAAAGTCAGACACAATAAAGGACAGAAATGGTATGAACCTAACAGAAACAGAAGATATTAAGAAGAGGTGGCAAGAATACATATAAGAACTATACAAAAAAGTCTTAATGATCCAGATAACTACAATGGTGTGATCACTCACCTCGAGCCAGACATCCTGGAATGCAAAGTCAAGTGGACCGTAGGAAGCATCACTAACAACAAAGCTAGTGGAGGTGATGGAATTCCAGCTGAGCTATTTCAAATCCTAAAAGATGATGCTGTGAAAGTGCTGCACTAAATATGCCAGCAAATTGGAAAACTCAGCAGTGACCACACGACTGGAAAAGGTCAGTTGTCATTCCAATCCCAAAGAAGGGCAATGCCAAGGAATGTTCAAACTACTGCACAACTGCTCTCATTTTGCATGCTAGCAAGGTCATGCTCAAAATCCTCCATGCTAGACTTCAACTGTATGATCTATTATGTGGTCAATTAAAAAATGTTTGTGTATGTTCAAACAGAATGTGTATTCTTAACTATGTCTGTCAAATCAATTTATGCTGTTCAGATCAACTATGTATTTACTATTTTTTTTGCTTACTAGGACACTAACCTGAAACATGAATATATCTTTGTTACTGTTTATTTTTAATTTGACATTAAAATTTCTTCAATTATAGTATTCAGATACTTTGTTTCATCTATTTTTGGGATAACTTATTAGGCACATATAAGTTTGATTTGAACTGTTTGCAGTTGTATCGTGACTTTTTATCTCTAATAATGCTTTTTAAAGAAAATATAGTCCTTATAATATTATTTTTATAATACTATGTCTAGCAATACTATAACCAGTCCAACTTTTTCTTGTTTAATATTTGCTGGATATACCTTTTGTTTCAATTTTTCAGAGTCTCATTTCTTTAGATACATCCATCATATAATTGGATTTTAAAAATTATATCCATAATAATCTTCGTTACTACTAAGTTAATCCATTTACATTTATTATAATTGTTTTCCACCCTTTTCTTTCTTTTTACCTTCATGCTTTATTCCAGCATCTCTAATGTGTATTTTATTGTTTTTTTTCCTTTGTCTGTATCTAATTTGGTATTTCATTCATCCTCTGAATTTTCCATTTCAACATGTTTTGCAATTTCAAATATTCTACTTAGTTGTTATTCAATATCTGCCTATTTATTTTGTTTGTACTCTTTTTATATTTGCTCATATTTATCATTGCCTTTCATATTTACTGAAACATTGTATTTGGAGTAATTTTATATTCCATCTTTGGCAGTTCCCATATTCTAAACATCTGATAGCCAAATATGTGGTGTCTGCTCGTTTTCTCCTGTGTTTACTTGTTTGTATGTTTCATGATCTCTAAGTGTAAGTTCATATTTGTATAAAAATCATCCAAAAGGTTAGTGGTGGACTGCTTAAAAAGTGTTCTTTCCTCTAAAGAGGTTTTCAGTTGTTTTTGCTATAATCTGAAGGGTGTTAATAACCAAGGTCCCTGACTCAAGGCAGAGACTTCAGAATCAGATCCTCTACTTTGAAGCTTCCTCTAGCAAGCTCTTAGTCTCTGCATCATATTGCTTTTATCAGTATTTGCTCTCAGAGTAACTCCTATCCTTACTATTCTTTGCTTGCCGTTTAGGATTTTGCACATGATATAAATCATATGGGGCTTCCCTTGTGGCTCAACTGATAAAGAATCTGCCTGCAACGTGGAATACCTGGGTTTGATCCCTGGGTTGGGAAGATCCCCATGAGAAGGGAAAGGCTACCCACTCCAGTATTCTGGCCTGGAGAATTCCATGGACTGTATAGTCCAGGGGGTCACAAAGAGTTGGACACAACTGAGCGACTTTCATTCACATGATATAATTGTTTATATGTATGTATGCATGCATTATTAGGTATGAGATGGGCAGGGAGAGAATATATCTTAGGTTTTGGAGGTGTGGGGCTTTGATAGTTCTCATACATCATGAGCTCAGTATTCATTTAAAAAGTAGTTTTTATTACTGGATGTGTTTCTTTGTGGTAGAAGGACTGTCTAGAAGTTAATCTTCCAAAATGTGGAAGTAGGCACCTGCCACTGTAATTTTTACGACAGACCTCATTCTCTTCTCCTTGCAAGCTATTCTCTAACTTTGTAGATATATTCTATATAATTAGATATATTTCTATATCTAGATGTATTATTCTATATATCTAGGCTTCCCAGGTGGTGCTTGTGGTAAAGAGCCCACCTGCCACGCAGGAGACGTTAAGAGATGCACATTGATCCCTGAGTCAGGAAGATCCCCTGGAGGAGGATATTGCAGGCCACTCCAGTATTATTGCCTGGAGAACCCCATGGACAGAGGAGCCTGGCAGGCTATAGTCCAACACAACTGAAGTGACTTGGTACTCAGATATATATGTTCTATATTTCTTAGATTATCTTTGCCTTGTTTTCACATATTTATACTAAAAGTTAATATGAATATACTTGCAATATTTTTCTATTTTAAAAATGATTTAATGCTAGACATTTTGGGTTATTCACTCCCCATTCATTTTTTGTAGTTTTCAGCTACTCCTGTGCACATAAATCATACTGATGTCTAGAAACATAGACTATGCAAATCAAAGTAGTCCTGTTATCCTTGAAATCAAGAGTAGCAGTGGCTATAATGATAGTTGATATATTTGAATGCTTATGTATCAAACACTACACTACTCATTTAATCTTTACAACAAACCTATGAAGACCTATTATTCCAATATTACAAATGAGGATAAATAATTTGCCCAAGGCTACACAACTTGTATTAACCCAAGTTTTAATATTTTAGTTTCCCTTCTAAAATATGTGGAAAAAATAACAAACTAAGAATAATTCTTAATAACAAATACAAGATACTGGCAATAATTACTAGGTTTCCTGCTTATATCTCCTTTTGCAAGTATTGTTGTCTTAGTCTCTGGGCATATTTTACAAAGTAAGTTAAAAATTGTTGTTATTCTTCAAGATGATAGATTGGTGACTCTGTGCATCTTCTTGCACTTTCAAATACAGGGAATCTGTGTCAAATTTGGGCTGTGCTAGTTTATTCTATTAATATCTCTGCCAAGTTTTAGAGAGCCCTGAATCAGAATGAGTGAATCTAGGCATAAATTCTCAGCTAACTGCTTGGTACATTCATTTTGATTTTTGTTAGTCTTGTTTATCTAATGGAGATGCCTGAGCTTGATCTTTAATCATATGCAATGCTAATTTTTAGAGATATGTCATGTGACTAAGATTTTCAACTTAGAATGTATCCATCTTTAAGCTGGAAGGAGTTGCCATTTCTTCCTCTAGGGGATCTTCCTGACCTAGGAGTTGAACCTGGAACTCTTACATTGCAGGCAGATTCTTTACCATCTGAGCTATGGGGAAGTCCCACCCATCTTTAAGCATGAAGCAAAGTTTGGGTGGTCATGGAGTCAATGAAAAAAGTGAAAAGTGAAAGTGTTAGTCACTCAGTCATGTCTCTGCTACTCCATGGGCAATGGCCTGCCAGACTTCTCTGTTCATGGAATTCTCCAGGCAAGAATACTGGAGTGGGTATATTCCCTTCTCCAGGGGATCTTTCCAACCCAGGGATTGCACCCGAGTCTCCTATATTGCAGGCAGATTCTTTATGGTCTGAGCCACCATGGAAACCCAATGGAGTCAATATTGTATTTCAAATACCCAGCACTGTAAGTGAATAGTACAACTGGGACTGAGCCACTTGGCAAATTGAAAATACCAGTGAGAGCAAGGGAACAGCACATATTCTTAAAAAGCAGTATGTACAGTTTAACGTATTTTGACAAAGGAGAAATACGAAATTGACTAAAAATTGCCCATACAGTATGAATTTTAAAATCTTAAAGAAAATAATAATTCTCTCATTCTTTCTCAGAGGACTATGAAAGAAAGAATATCTTTCTTTTTTTTCCTTCTTGCTTTGGTCTTGATTCTAACTAAGGAAAAGTTCTTTTGGGGGGGACTTTGCCCAGGCAAGGCTTTTTGGCATTAGAGTCAGAAAGAGGGCATCTTTTATTTTTGTTAAGAATGTATTGGTGAGTGAACTCAGTCTGACTTTTTTCCCATATTTTTAGATTCTTTAGTAAACTTCTATTTCTTTTTTTAGGCACATGTAATAGGAAAGACCTAAAACACAGTAGCTAATATGTCTATTTTATATTAAGAAATTTCTAAAGGCAAAATTTTTACAGTAAGAAACTGGTTACTGTATATATGAAAATCTTTTTTTTAATCAAAGGAATCATCATAGGAGAGAAGATAAATTTGTAAGCAAATGTTGAAGGATAACAATAGTAAAAGCCATGGTGTTATTTTAAAAAGTAAAATGGAATGCTAACTTGATGATGAAATATGGAATATTGTTATGAGCATTTATTTTATATTTCTTATCCTAGATTAAAAGACTATATCAGTTGTAACTATTGTCTTTGGTGTCCAGCCAGTTCATATTGTCATCATCTTTCAGCAGCAATTCCAGTTGCAAGTTGTTATTTAAATGAGTGGCTAGATCTTGATGTTTGATACGTTTTACACTGCTGGAATGGTTACAAAATCAAGTGCTTCCAATGATTATGTCATTATCATGCCTTATTTAACATCTGTTAACTCCAGGCACTATTCTAAGTATTTAACATATTTTTAGTCATTTAATTATTATATGGTAATTGAATAAGTGTATGCTGCTTCAAAGCTTTAAAAAATTAAATAAAATTTATAATTTATATTGTTCTGGACTGTTTTTTTTATTAGTACTGTTACCAGTTTAGACATTCATTACCTTTCCTACTGATAACATTAATGTGGCCTAATTACATTCTTCCTGTGGCCTTTTGGTTTTCCTGTCTTTTAAAAAGTTGTTTTCTTATCCCATATTTTGGATTATTTTCTTCAATAAAAGCATATGGTTTCAGCTACAGATAAATCATTCTGTTTTTTTTTCTTTGCCTTATAAAACATCTGTGCAGTGTTAACAGTCAACTCTGCATTTATTTCTAAGTGGTAATGCCGAATGATAAATGCTTTAGTGCTTTCTTTGTGATTCTGCTGTTCCCCATTTTGTTGAAATACAAATATGAAATTTTTCAGGTTTAGCAGAATTAGGTACCCTGTGTGACCCTTTACGGAGCTGCTCTATTAGTGAAGAAAATGGACTCAGTGCTGCCTTCACCATAGCCCATGAGCTTGGTCATGTGTAAGTACCTTGTGTCACCTCAGTAGTGAGCCTTCTACATAGCATTGCAAGAATGTCTACAGTTTTGTCTTTAACTGAGTAATTAGCATCCTTATATCTTTACAAAATATTAGTAGTGTAATGTTAACCCCTGAAATGCTAACTCTGGCTCTTTTGTGATCTATGTTAGGTCAGACAGGCTACACAGATCAACAGACTAAGCAAAGAACTAGAACTTTGGAACTCTTTTCTTTCATTTACTGTATTGGATTATATGGCAAGCACTTCTGGCCTCTATCCCTTGTTATCCTATGCATGACCAGGTACTGTGCTCTACCATCTTATGGGAGGGCCTGTAGGGTCCCCTGGTTCTAGGGAACTCCCCCAAATATTTGTAGTATCAATTCATTTCTTGCTTTTATTGCTCAGAGCCCAAACAGAGTATGTGTTCTGTGGGAATTTCTTAATCACTGAAATATTTTCTTAAAACTTTTTCTCCCAGATCCATAGTTTTTTTTTTTTTTTTTTTGGTAAACATTTGGAATTCTCCTAACTGTTCCTGTATTATTAAAAATTCTACTGGGGTTTTATGCTCTAAGAATGTGGAGGCCATGATTTCCCATGATACCCGTGAAGCTCCCATAGAAAGTCAGAAACCCCTAGAAATTCATCCTCTGAAAAATGATTCCTGATGTACCCACAGTACTCCTTTGATATTTTGGTTATTTGCTAATAAGGAATTGAAGCTGGAGCTGCTTCTCTTGAATTGCATTGTCTTTTCCTGGTCATGCCTTGACATCCTTAGAGTATTCAACTGGAATAATTTCAGGCAGAGATAATTTTTATTAAGCTAGTTCCTCTTCAGTTCCCTGTAACATAGTTCTGTCTCATGACCACCCACCAAATGCACACTCAGATTTTTACGTTGTTTGCTGAAGTAGAGCAGGTTCAGCAGCATGCCTGAGGTATATCATCCATTGCGGTAACATCCTGAAGGCAGTGTTTGCTGATTACCAAGGGTCTTAACTAGTACAATGTTCTTGCAAAGGATACTACCTTTTATTTTCTTCCTGAGAAACTCTTTAGGTGTGTTTAGAATATCAGTAAGTAGTTTAATTAAAACACTGATATTAAGTACAAATTTTGACAGGTAAGGACTGAATCAAGTGGTTTCAATATTCCTTCTAAATGTAATTTTTACTGGGGTCCTCAAAAAATATGTAGAATCTGTTGCTGGCCAGCTGATCATTTAATGTCATTGCCCTTGTAAAGATTTGGTTGCCATTGGGAATATTTTTATTATTCCAGTTCTATCAGTCATCGCTTTATGATTATAAACCAGAAAGAACAGTTAAGCTGTTTCATGTGAAATAGGTGGGAAGCATAAAGTGATATGGAATTAAGAATTAAAGAAGTTTTTTTGTTTTTTAATTCTGTAGTGATAGTAGTCTGGAAGTTACTGTGGTAGAGCCTTTACCTAATCTTCCCACACACATTGCCTCGGGTATGCATGTTGGAAATTATAATTGTTTTTATGTGAATGCTTTGTTGATATTGCGATGAGGTGAGTCAGAATCCAAACAGTTTGATTGTTGAAATTGACATACCAAAGCAACAGACTGTGCTATTGATCAGAGTTATAATCTACTATTTCTTAAACATCATGTACTTCTAAACATGAAGGTAACCCTAGCATTTCAGTGCTTTATGAAGAGATCAAGAGTACAAATCCTGATATAATCAGATTGATCTGCATTTTAGATTATATTATAAAATGAGATATCTGTTTCTAATGTTGTGTACATTTTATTATTCCTTTTTAAGTGTTTATTTTTATTTTTAGATTTAATGTTCCACACGATGATAGTTTTAAATGTAAGGAAACTGGAATTAAACATCAGTATCATGTCATGGCTCCAACTTTAAATTACCACACAAGTCCCTGGACCTGGTCAAAATGTAGTCAGAAATATATCACTGAATTCCTAGAGTAAGTGATTTCGTGTTACTTTAGTTATATAACTGAACATTTATTAGATTATAAAGTTTGAAACATGTATTCTTTTAGAATAGTTCAATCTCTGTTGAGTTTTTTACTGCTTAAATTTAAGCTTGCCTCCACTGTACAAATGGGTGTTTAAAGACAAAGAGTTTTATTATTTCATTCTTAACTATATTTTTTTGGTGGGGGATTTAATTCAGAGTTATCATTTAAAAAAAAATTTGGGTTCCTGTTATGATAAAAACTCCTTCTTAGGGGGATGCTTAATGGGAATCAAAGCTTCCTTGTGTATTTCTTCAGAAGCTGCTAAGTAATATTTTGAGAGGTGTTTCAAGGACAGAGAATAGCTGAAGTCAAATTATGAATATTTCGAATAGTTAAGAGATGTGGAGTCTCTGGGTTTACCTGTCCTTTGGAGGCTACTGCTTGCTCAGATTCAGATTGTTCTGGCCTTGCCTCTTCATCTCCTACATTTCTCTGCTTCCCAACTTATCCAAATGGTGTTTCTATCCTAGTTATTGAAACTTGTTCTAAAAGCAAGGCCAAACTCTTTCCAGGTAGTCTTTTGGTATAAGCACAATATTATTTGATTTTTTTCTACTACATATTCTAATCACCAATTTATACACTTTCACTTACCTATCTCTGTGAGAACTATGGGAATGAATGAAACCATCTTTTGGAATATATATTTATAAATGTATCCCTTAATTATGATTAGCAGTGGTTATTTATCCTTGTATGGAAACTTGATTTAAAAGCATAGCACATAGTTGCTGATCTGTACATGGTAGCATATAGCTTTGTTCAATTGCTGACTGAAGCACTGATTAAAAATACCAGTAGATATGCTTATTTTTGGAAGAGGGTGATATGATTCTTGCCAATGGTATTTTAAAAGTTACATGTTCATATTTTTGGGCAAAATTTATTCTGCCCTCTAGCCAGTAAAAAATTCCACCTGAAATATTTCTTCTAATTATTTCAAGTTGAACAAATGTTTGCTTTTAACTGAGTTGAAATGGTTGAAAATTTTCAGTTTTCTATACACTATATTACTTGACAAACTAGGAGTAGCAAATACACATTTTTGCCACTATCTACTATTTTGCAAACTCCTTTAAAGATATTAAATCATGCACTTTAATAGCAACTTGCAAGGCAGCCATTTCTACTCTCAGTTTGCAGTTGAGAAGTCTTAGACTCAGGGGAGCCTAACTAACTTGTCCACACCATGCAGTTCGGAAAGAGGTGACACCCAAATGCAAAGTCCCAGAGCTGGCATTCTTTACTCTGCATTACATTCTTTTCCTAAGAAAATCTCTTTGAGACAGAGACAGCATAGCACTTTCTGAAATTCCTCTATTTTGTTGTCAGCTTTCTCAGATGATCTGAAAATGTTACTTTTTACATTTTGACAGATTGGACATTAGATATAGGGCATTCCTGTTGGATAGCAAAGCAGACCAAAAGTGTAGTGTGATCAACATAGGAATGCATGTTTAAATGTTATGTTCGATGAATTTTTGTTTATTTTTCATTATTCTTTAAAAAATTGTTTTTTACCTTTAAGGCAGTTGTGGGGATTAAATGAGAACAAACACATAGAATAAGTCCTTTATAAACTGTGAGGTTTTCTTATTGACTTTGATATGAGTTGGTTTTTAAATTATGAAAAAATACTGATGTTCTCTTTGACAGTGCAGAGCTACAGAAAAATGTGGTAAAGAATCTTCTACTGAAGTACATCCATGTGTATTCACAATATTTTGTTCCCTGTCATTGTTGCAGTACTGGTCATGGGGAATGCCTTCTTGACAAACCAAGTGGAAGAATATACGATCTATCTTCACAGCTTCCTGGATTAATGTATGATGTAAACAAGCAATGTGAACTTATGTTTGGTCCTGGATCACAAGTGTGTCCCTATTTAGTAAGGAAAATTATGTTCTTTTGTTTGAAAACTACCATAAAGTTGTAGTTAAGATATATTTCAAAATGTATTTTATTCTCTTGGACAGGTAGTGTGCTGAATTTATCTTGATTTTTAAATATTAGAAAAATTTGGTGTTTATCAGAAAGAGGTTTTTAAAAAAGGGAAACTATAATTTACTGAATACTTACTATACGCCAGGTGCTGTTTTAGGTGGGCTTCCCCGGTGGCTCAGATGGTAAAGAATCTGCCTGCAATGTGGGAGACCAAGGTTTGATCCCTGGGTTGGGAAGATCCCCAAGAGAAGGGAATGCCTACCCACTCCAGTGTTCTTGCCTGGAGAATCCCATGGACAGAGGAGCCTGGTGGACTATAGTCTAGGGGGTTGCAAAGAGTCACTCTTTGTTAGTCACAAATGAGAGACTTTCACTTTCACGTTGTTAAATACTTAAAAATTATCTTTAACTCTCACAAAATCCTATGAAATATCCTCAGTCAGAAAACAGAGTCACATACAGGTTAATGAAAATTAAAAGCATTCAAATAGTTATTTTCAAATGATGTTGTTTTGTGGGTGGGAGAGATAATGCAAGTGCTTTGATAAGGAATTGTATTAAAGACCCCAAGAATTTTATAGACTATATTTTACTTTATACAGATTTGAATCCAAAGGAATGAAATTTGGAGCCTATTGTTTAGTTTTCTTTAATCATTACTTTATAATTGGTTTCAAGGATTTTTCATAGGTTAGATTCTTTAAAATTCCACTGAAAAAGTTGAGTTGACATTTTTATTGAATCTGTAGCCAAGATTTTGTCTTCTTTTGGGAGTAAATTTAGGATTCAGTTCGAATAAATGTCAGTACTTTGGTGAATCCATGCCTTACTTTTCCAAGCAGAATATGCATTTCATTTTCTTCAATCCTGTGCAGACCTTTGCCAAATTGCTTACTGTACTACTAGATTGTGAAGATCATTGAACCAGGAATCTTGCCTTGTTCATTCATTATAAATAAAGATATATTCCCAGGGTTTAGTTCATATCTGCCATATAATAGGAGCCAAAAATATAAATGTTTACTGAATGTTGAATGAGCCAATACATGAATGATGTATGAATGAATGAATGGATGGATGAATAAATGAAAGGTACTTAACAGCGAGCATAAGGACGTACAAAGCATAATGCATATAATGAATATTATTCCTAAAATCTTAAATTTAAAATAACAAATTTTTATGTCCTTAAATATCCACTATGAAGAGGGGAAGATTTACCTCAATTATTTTTTATAAAAAAAAATACTTTTCCTACTGACTTGGATACTGAATGAACTTTGAATTTAAATTCAAAGAAAGAAAGGGATTATCTTGGACATAGCTCCTGTGAGCCTCTGTGGATTTTCATATACTGTGAAAACTTCAGAACCCTTTGTTCAAAAATTGAAAGTATGCATTATATTTACAAAATAGGAAACCAGTATACATTATACAGTTTTTCTATGCACATTATTCATACATTCCACTGTTGGATCAAAAGGGACTTTTGGAAACTCCTTGTGAATAACATTTAACAACAAAAAACCCTTTAGAAAAATGTCTTGCAAAGAGAGAAAACTGTCTCAGTAATTTTGAATGCTTCCGTTCCAAGTCATCTCTTCCACTGTTCAGTGTTTGATGATAATCCAATTTTTTAAGAACTAAATGTTTCCGTTTTATGTGTTTAGAGGAAAATTGATGACCAAGACTGACTTAGTAAAGTTTATTATGTGTATCTGTGTTAGTTGTTCAGGCGTGTCTGATTCTTTGCAACTCCACGGACTGTAGCCCACCAGGTTCCTCAGTCCATGGAATTTGCCAGGCAGTAATACTGGAGTGGGTAGCCATTCCCTTCTCTAGGGGATCTTTCTGACCCAGGGATCAAACCCAGGTCTACCACACTGCAGCCAGATTCTTTACTGTCTGAGCTACCAGTGAAGCCTTAGTAAAAGATTATTACTGATTATTTCCTTATCTGACCGTGAAACCAGGAAGTATCTCGGATCGATTTATAGATCAGTGCATGATACTGACCTGATCTGGTGGTCGTAGTGTTATTCCCTCTTGCTTGCCTGCCTCTTCTTACCCTGCAGAAACAATGCAGGCGCCTCTGGTGTACCAGTGCAGAAGGAGTCCATAGGGGCTGTCGCACTCAGCACATGCCGCTGGCAGATGGAACGAACTGTGGTCCTGGGATGGTAGGTTTTCTCGAAGGGTGAGTTTTGTATCAAGAGATTATCCAAGGATGTGATTGCTGTGTGTTTCAGCACTCTTCATTATTCACCATCATATTTTCTTCTGCTAGTTGAGTTAATGTTTTTGCTGTATTTGTTTGATGTATGTTTTCAAGTGCATTAGAATTTAAATTTTATCCTGTTTTCAAGGTAAAGCAGATGGATATTATAGTTACATAATTATGTGGACATTTACTTATCTAAGCATATTATAGTCTTGTTATTAAAAATGTGTCTAGCCGTAAGTCGGTCAGCAAATATCTGAAATACTCCCCAATTTAAGGATTTACCATTGTATACATTTCTCCTAAAAAATTCAGAGAAATATAAATGAAAGTATTAAGTGGTTTCTTCAGAACATTATTGGTTTTAGTGTTTTTGAATACATTGTATCTCTAAGACAAACTGTCAGTCATACTGCATCTTTTCCGTTCTAGCATCAGTGATAAACTTATGTAAATCTGCCAACATGATGTGAAGTGACTGGGTTCACCATGATAATGAAATGTGATCTATTGCATATATTAATTTGCGGATATTGAACAGTACATCCCACTTAATCATAGTGTATGATCCTTTTAATGTATTGTTGAATTCAGTTTGCTAATATTTTGTTGAAGATTTTTGCATCTATGTTCATCAGTGACACTGGTCTGTAATTTTCCTTCTTGTGATACCTTTGTCTGGTTTCATTATCAGGGTGATGCTGGCTTTGTAGAATGAATTCCAGAGCATTCCTTCCTCTGTAATTTTTTGGAATAGTTTGAGAAGAATGGGCTTCCCTGGTGGCTCAGCTGGTAAAGAGTCTGCCTGCAATGCGGGAGACCTGGGTTTGATCCCTGGGTTGGGAAATCCCCTGGGGAAGGGAAAGGCTGTCCACTGCAGTATTCTGGCCTGGAGAATTCCACAGACTTATATAGTCCATGGGGTCGCAAAGAGTCAGACATGACCGAGCGACTTTCACAACTTTCAGAAAAGTAAGTGTTACTGTTCTCTAAATGTTTGTTAGAATTCACTTGGGAAACCATCTGGTTCTGGACTTTCAAGAGTTGGGAGGTTTTAAAATTATTGATTCAATTTCATTACTAGTGAACTTCATAAACTGGTATTTTTATATTTTCTTTCTGATCCAATCAGGTAAAATTGTACATTTCTAGGAATTTATCCATTTCTTCCGGGTTGTCCATTTTATTGGCATGTAATTGTTCATGGTAATCTCCTAGGATCCTTTGTGTTTCTGTGGTGGCAGTTGTAACTTCTTTTTCATTTTTGATTTCATTGGTTTGCTGCTGCTTAGGCACTTCAGTCGTGTCCGACTCTGTGAGACCCTATTGACTGCAGCCTGCCAGTCTCCTCTGTCCGTGGGATTTCTTAGGCAAGAATGCTGGAGCAGGTTGCCATGCCATCCTTTAGGGGATCTTCCTGACCCAGGGATTGAACCGTATCTCCTCCATTGCAGGCAGATTCTTTACCACTGAGTCACCAGATTTTAGCCTTCCCTTATTTTCTTGATGGGTCTAAATAATCAATTTTGTTTATCTTTTCAAATATGAGCTCTTAGTTTCTTTGATCTTAGTTTCTTTTCTACTCTTTTTGGTATCTATTTTACTAATTTTTTCTCTTTCTGATCTTTATAATTTATTTCCTTCTACCAACACTGAGTTTTATTTGTTCTTTTAATTCTAGTTCCTTTAGGTATAAGGTTTACTTGGGACTTTTCTTGTTCCCTGAGGTAGGCGTGTGTTGCTACAAATGTTCTTCATAGAACTGCATTTGCTTTCATTACATAGATTTTAGATTGTTGTATTTTTATTTGTCTCCAGGTGTATTTTTTTATTACTTTAGTGACATATTAGTTGTTTAGTAGCACAGTGTTTAGCTTTCACACTGTTTTATTTTTTTCTTTGCAAAATTTTTCTTGTAGTTGATTTCAGGTTTCATAGGACTGTGGTCAGAAAAGATGCTCGATATGATTTCAGTCTTCTTGGTCGCCAGATTCTTGTGTGGAGACAGCTGGCCCCTTGCAGGTTTGATGGGTCCTGATGTGGCTGTCTGCATGGCCAGTGGAGGCTTGGTCTTGCTGCTGGTTCAGTGGTGGTTGGACCTCAATTCCAGGGCAGTTGACTGAGGTTCCCAAGAGGTCCCAGAGCTAATGCCAGCCCGCTGATGGCCAAGGGTGTCCGAGACTGTGCCGGCCTCCTGATCGGTGGGCCAGGTCTTTACACAGCTGGCTCTGGAGCCATGGTACTCCCAGGGATGGTGTCTGTGGGGTCCAGGGAGTCTAGGCGCTTGTCCTTGCCCACTAGTGGCTGAATCTGGCCTCAGAGCTAGTAGTTGCCCATGGTGAATGGAGCTGGGTTCTGGGGTCCCTGGGTACCTGGGATGTCTTGGAGCTGGTGTTAGTTTCCTGGTGGGTAGGCTAAGGCCCAGGAAGCCCTAAGACTGATGCCGGTCCACTGGTGGCTGAGTCTGGTCTGGATTCCTGGCTTTCAGGGCCCTTCTGGTCCCAGAGTCAGTGTGGGCCAGCAGGTGGTTTGGCTGGAGCCCAGGGGTTACCAGGGCTGTACCTGTCCCCTGCTGGGTGGAGTCTTCTCTGATGGCTGGCTGCAAATCCCTTGGAACATTGGAGTTAGCGATGATCCACTGGTGGTTGGGGCTGGGTCCTGGGCCCTCTAGTGGGCAAGACCAGCTTTTGGAGTGGCTGCAGTCTCAGTGGGTTCTATGGCAACTGGCTGGCTGGAAGATGGGTCTGTGTTCCCTCCCAGGTAACTGCTTGGCATGGGGTGACCCAAGATGTGTGCCAGCACGCTAGTGAGTGGGGCCAGGTCCTGATGCTAGTAAGCTAGCAGGAGGAGTGAAAGTGGTGCTTGCCAGTCACAGTGTCCTCGTGGTGGGATGAGCTCCCTAAAATGCCTTCTGTCAGCTTCTGTGTTACCGGGGTGAGTCCCAGATGCTTTCTTTCTTTTTGGGAAGCTCTCCAAAATCAGCAGATGGGTCTGACTCAGGCTTCTTTCAAATTTCTGCTTCTTCTCTGGGTCTTGAAGCATGTGATATTTTGTGTGTGTGTGTGTGTGTGTGTGTGCTTTTTAAGAGTGGAGTCTCTGTTTCCTACATTTTTCTGACTTTCCTGAAAGTAAGCCTTGCTGGCATTCAAAGCCAAACACTGTGAGGCTCATGTTCCTGGTGCAGGACTCCCAGCCTGGGGAGCCTGCTATGAGGTTTAGACCTCTGGGTCCTTGGGGAGAACCTCTGCAATTCTAATTATTCTTTCGATTGTGTGTTGCCTACCCAGGGGTGTGGGTCTTAACTATGCTGTGTTCCCTCCTACCCATCTTGTTGTGGTCCCTTCTTTATATCTCTAGTTATAGTCTTTTCTTTGGGTCTTCAGGTCACTCTCATTGATAGTTGCTCTATAAATAGTTGTAATTTTTGTGTGTCCTTAGGAGGAGGTGAACTCAGGGTCTGCTATCTTTGCCCCATCTCCTGTCTATTTTTTATTTTAAAGTAAATGAAGCTATCTAGTATACTCTCTCTTGGCTAGGAGCTAGTGGGTCAAGCTTCTTTTGTTCAACATGATGTTTTCGAATTTTATTCATATCATTGTGTGCATCAGTACTTCTTCCTTTATGTTGCAGTTTAATTCAGCTGTGCTATAATTTGTTTACCGTTCTTCTGTTGATAGGTATTTGGGTCATTTCAAGTTTGGGCTTTTATGTATAAAGCCACTGTGAGCATCCTTATATAAATCTTCTTGTGGCCATATGTTTGTATTTCTCTTGAGTAAATTGTTAGGTTATAGGGTAGGTGTATGTTTAACTTCATAAGAAAGTACCAAACTATTTTCCAAAGGATGTGAACCATTTTAGACTCACCAACCAATATAAGAAAGTTTGAATTGTTCTGCATTCCCTGTCAATTTTTTATTTTGTTAGCCTTAACAAACTTTTAGCCATTCTAGGGGGTGCAAAATAGAATTTAATTCTTATTTTGACTTGTATTATCCTAATTATTATCAATTTTGAGCTTCTTTTTTTTATTAGCTCACAACTATTTCCCCAATGAGACAGTATGGAGCATGGGTTTGTTGAAATCCAGATAAATATGGTGAGATACTGAGACCTACTTTAAAACCTATGCAGATTAAAAGTAGAGGTGACATTTGGCATAAAATGTGAATCATGCTAGGTATAAACTCCCTTTAAAAAAATTAACTGAAAATAGTAAGCCCCTATGCATTAGCCATATTAAGTATTAAGAGGTCCTGTTATTCAAGGAAAGTTTAAACAAATATCCTATAATTTTTCCTTTAGTTCTTTTATCTTGTGAATATCTTACATGGGTGATGTCTGTTAAACGCTTTTTGTAGTAAATCTGTTTGCATGTAGACATGCTGAACCCATCTGACAATGAGTTAATTTTACTACACGATGAACAATATAACATTCTTTTTCATGCTCTGTTCCCTCAGAAATAAATAAATAAAAAGGGAATGTGCCAGGATTATTTAAACATTTCTGGAAGATGCCCACAAAATTTACATGCACACAGTATATTCTATTTTGAGATCTATTTTGAGATTCTGTTTTTGTTCACTTCTAGTATGGCTTTCTCATATTAAATGATTTGTTCTAATGGAGGGCACAAAGCAGTTTTTTTCTGCTGGTAATCTTGGTTATAGGATTAATTCATTCGACAAAAATTTGTCAAGGGCCTCCTACATGTCAGATACTCTTCTTGGTGCTCAGAATATATCAGTGAACAAAAGAGGAAAGATTTTTGCCCCCATCCTGGAGGTTATATTCTAGTTGAATACCGCAGTATTACAAGCAATATAATGGCACCATAAATAAGAGAAATAGAGTAGAAAAGGGACTAGATGTTGTGTCATAGGAGAGGGCAGATTGCAATTTAAAATATGACGGTCAAGGATGATCTTATGGGAAGTTGCCTAATGAGCTGTTTTAAAGGAAGTGAGGGAGTTTGCTATGAGGACATTGCAAGGGAGTTGGGTTTCAGGCAAAGGGAACAACAGCCAGACTTCTGAATCTGGAATTTTCCTAGAGTGTTCAGGGAAGAGCAAAGATGACATTTTGACTGGAGTGGAATGAAGAGAGAGAGAGAGAGGTGCATGGGAATTACTAGAAAAACTTTCAGGTGTTATGAGAATTTTGTGTTACTCAAAGTGAGATAATTGAAAGACTTGACAGAGGAGTCACCTAATATGATTTAATTTTTAAACTAAGTTAAAAAAGGATCATGGCTGTTCTGACAACTCTTGAGGCTAACCTCTAAGGGCCAAGAGTAGACGAGGAGGAGATTCCTCAGGGAGATGTTGGAGTGAAATAGATGTTGGTGACTCAAGTCAGGTGATGATTAAAAGTCAACTTACATATGTTTTTGAAGGAACTAGAGCATTTGCTAATGTATTAGCTATGGAATATTAGAGGAGGAAGATATAGGATGACTATGTATTTGGCTGATAACTGAGATCCACTCAGCAGATTTTGAGGGGGCAGGTTCCACTTTGGATATGCTATCCTTGAAGTGGCTGTTAAGACATTGAAATGAAAATGAGGAAGCAGCTGTCCATAGAGTTTGGAGTTCAGGAAAGAGATCTGGACTGGGAGTGATCGATGAAACAGATGGCTAAAGGACCATGGTCTGAGCCCAGAGACATAAAGAGGTTAGAAGGAAGAAGAAACTGTAAAAGAGAAATCATTAAAGAGAAGAGAAAACCAAGAGTGTGTAGAGTCCTGGAAACCAAGAGAAGAAAAAGTGTATCAAAGAAGCAGAATGATTAGTTATGTCACACACTATGTCATAGAAGTCAAAGAAGGCAGAGACTGAGAACTTAGCCACTGGTCTTGGTGTCCTGGAGGCCATTGGTGATGCACACATGAGCAGATTCGTGGAAAGTGGGATGTGAAAACTTGTGGGTATTGAGAGAAAAGAGTTGGAGAGAGTTAGACCATGAACAAAGACAGCTCTTTCAAGGAAAAATAGGACAATAACTGATGAAGGAAATGAGTCTAATATTTTTGTTTAAAAAGAATGAGTGGGGTACTTCTCAAACTGTCTCTCGTAAAGGACCAGTATTCTTTTTTAAATATTTCTGGTCATTTATAAACATGCTATTGTACAAAGTGGTAAAAATGAAATGACAAAAGACATTCCAAGTGTAAGCCAAAACAAAAGGAAAACAAAATGGTGGTTCCTCAAAAAGATTAAAAATAGAAACATGTAACCTAACAAAAAAATTTCTTGGTATATATCCCAAAGAATTGCATTATTCACAATAGCCAAGAAGTGGAAGCAACCCGTGTCCACCAGNTGAGTATAGTTCCCTGTACTATACAGTGGTTAGTGTACAGTAGTTAGTATAGTTAGAAACTATACAGTCGTTTCTTCTTGTTTATTTTATATATAGTAATGTATAGATGTTAGGCTTCCCAGGTGGCGCTAGTGGTAAAGAACCCACCTGCCAATGCAGGAAGCGTAAGAGACATGGCTTTGATCCCTGGGCAAGGAAGATCCCATGGAGATGGGCATGGCAACCCACTCCAGTATTCTTGCCTGGAGAATCCCATGGACAGAGGAGCCTGGTGGGCTACAGTCTATAGGGTCGCACAGAGTTGGACATGACTGAAAAGACTTAGCATGTGTGCAGAAAGACAAATACTGTATGATTTCAGTTATATGAAATATACAGAGCGGTTGAACTCACAGAAACAGTAGAATGGTGGTTGTCAGGTTTAATGGGTGCAGAGTTTCCATTTGGGAAGATGAAGAGTTCTATGTGATGGTTGCACAGCAATGTGAATGTTCTTAATGCCACTGAACTCTACACTTACAAATGGCTAAGAGAGTGCATTTTGTTGTGTGAATTTTACCACAATTAAAAATAGAACAGGGCTTCTCTGGTGGTCCAGGGCTTAAGAATCCTCCTGCCAACGCAGGGATATAGTTTCGATCCCTGGTCAGGAAAGAATCCACATGCCCTAGGGCAACTGAGCCTGCTTGCCTGGAGCCTGTGCTCTACAACAAGAAAGTCACTGCAATGAGAAGCCCACAGACTGCAACAAAGAATAGCCTCTGCTTGCCACAACTAGAGAGTGGCCATGGCCAGTCGCAGAGACCCAGCACAGCCAAAAATAAATGAATAAATAAATATTAAAAAATAAAGCAAATATAAGCTGATTTTATAATTATTAGTTTTAATAAACAAAATTAATCTGTTAAAATCTTCTAAGTCTTCTGAAAGTTTCTAAATGCTTACTTTCATCTTACTCATTTTCTCCCAGTTGACAGTGACTAGTTCAAAGACCAGCATCTGTGCACGGACTACAGTTTGATTAGCTTTCATATAGTGGCGACTGGAACAGTGATGATGTAGGAGAGATGGGAGAATTGCTGGAGTGGTGAGAAGAGATTAGTTGCACGATGGAGGGATTGGTTTTGGATTTTTCGTGTCTACTAATGGGCAGGAAGGCTGAATACTGGGCAGAAGGGATGGTGGTAGATTCTGGGTGTTGGGTGGGTAGAAGAGTTTGTGGGAGATTTTGGACACATTTCTTTTGTAGATTTACACTTTCTTGATGAAAGCAAGAAACAAACTGATCATTGAGACTTTAAATAAGATAGAGTAGAAAGTTAGCTACAAGAGTAGGAGAGTGATACGTATCTTTGCATAAAAGGTAGAAGCATGGTTATATACAATATTAATCAAATATTTGTTTGCTTCTTTTTCAAAAATACTTTTCATTATTAAGGTTTCCCCATAGGTATAGGTCTTCCCTCTCCAGTGAGACTGTAGCTCTCATAAGCACAATAAATTTCCTGTTCTTTTTTGCATTCTGTTGATCTGTTTACAGTTTCTCAGTATATACTCAGGAAATAGTCACAAAATGGTATCAAATGTAATTTCATTTCTGAATTGATAACATTCAGCTTAAAGTTGTATGCATTTTCTTCAGCTGGTCTTTCTGCTGTTGCTATTGTTGCTGTGATGTCCTAACTAGATAACACATGAATCATTTCTTTTTGTGTCACTTTATAGCATTGCCACCATGGGCTATGTGTAAATAAAGAGATGGAAACACGTCCTGTAGATGGCGATTGGGGACCATGGGGACCTTACAGTTCTTGTTCAAGAACATGTGGAGGTGGAATCAAAAGCACAAGCAGGCTCTGTAATCGCCCCGAGTATGTCTTTTTTATGTCACTGTAAATTAAGATTATCTCAAGGCACCAGAAAGTAAACATCAGTTTCATTCACTTCTAAAACTGGAGGTCAGTCTGTAAGTTTCTGAGATTCAGAAAACTTCTGGAATACTTTAAGCCATATTCCTTTCTATCTTGGTAGATTCAGACCTTAAAAAAAAAAAGTAAAATACTTTTAAGAATTTGAGTTAAGACAGCCATTTTCTTTCTTTTTTGATTTAGTGTAAATTTGAGAAATAGTTGCAAATAACGACAGTAATATAATGGCATTTTTACTTTTACTGTGCTTTTGTTGGAAGAGCCTGGCCCCTTTCAACTGTGCTTTGGTTTTCCTGGGTAAAATAGGTAGTTGTGTTACCATTTCTTACTGTTTGGTATAATTTGTCATGTCATATTTTCTTTTTCTTATTTTCGTCTTATAGTTGCTTCAGTGTCTTTAGCTTGAATAAGTACTGAAGCACAGATCCTGCTCACCAAAATACTTAAAAGAATTTAGGGATTTCATAAGAATTTTAAAAAATGACTCTCTTATTATAGATATAAGTAAAGAATTTTTAATACAGAAATATGACATACTATGAATAGAATACAACTTAGTTTATTTGAATTTTAAAATAGTTGAATTATGCTGAAAGTCTTCATATAAGCTTTTAATCTTCCAACATAAATTGAAATGGAGTTGGATGTCTATAGATTGATACCATGAAATTCTTTGAACTGAGTGATACGTAGGATATACACAACAAAGAGTCATATATACTTCTTTTTAGTTTTAACATGGTGTCATCTTCCTTTGTTATCATCTTTGGCTCACTCTATATGTCTCCCTGCCTCCGAAATGAGTAAACAAATCCCCACCATTAGTTCCTTGTTAGTTAATCTAGTCATGAATAAGACATCATTTCTGCCCTCTGGGCCACAATGTCCATGTTAAAATGGATTTTCTATAGTTCATTAACCTCAGAGTTGCTTCCCAACCATGTTACATACTTCTGTTAAAAACAAAAAGTGTTAGTGGGACATCAGCGGTTTTCCAGATCCTGGAGAGGGATGGAACAGTTTTAGAATGAAATGGCAGAAATAACCTTGTACTGATGTGCTTTAAACTATAATGAATTTGACTAGGCCAAGAAACGGAGGCAAGTACTGTGTGGGCCGCAGGATGAAATTTCGATCATGTAACACTGATTCATGTCCAAAAGGCAAGCAAGACTTCCGTGAGAAGCAGTGCTCTGATTTTGATGGTAAACATTTCAACATCAATGGTCTCTCCCCTAACGTGAGGTGGCTTCCAAAGTACAGTGGGAGTAAGTAATTAGAATATTTTATTGCTGTAAACAGTTTTGAGACAAAAGAACACACAGCTGTGTTCTTGTCCACCCAAATTTGACTTTTTCTTACAGTTGCCGTAAAAGATCGTTGTAAACTCTATTGTCGGGTGGCTGGAACCACTAACTTCTACCAACTGAAGGACAGGGTTGCCGATGGTACTCCTTGTGGGACTGAAACAAATGACATCTGTGTTCAAGGCCTGTGTCGGGTAAGTANGAGAGTCGCGTGGTGCTCTGGGTCTGATTTTCCACCTTGGCTACTAGGGCAGACTGAGCCTGAAGTCTGGGAGCCACCTCCCCAGCCAGGCAGGACGTCACAGCACGTGTTCAGGGCCTCATCCCTGGCTGCAGTGTCTTCTCTCTCCTTAAAAGTTACCTTGGTCTTCGTTTTCTCACTTTAATTACATGTACATATATGATATGGGCTTCCCTGGTGGCTCCGTGGTAGAGAACCTGCCTGCCAATGCAGAAGACGTGGGTTTGATCCCTGGGTCGGAAAGATCCCCTGGATAAGGAAATGGAAACCCACTCCAGTATTCTCGCCTGGAGAATCCCATGGACAGAGGAGCCTGGAGGGCTACAGTCCTCGGGGTTGAAAAGAGTCAGACATGACTGAGCACACACACACACAGACACGCGCACACGCACACACTCTGAATGCAGCATACTGTTCCAGTCCTCGAGAAGTAAGGATAGAAAAGAACTCCTTCCTCTGACACGGTGGCAGATCTGTGGGGTCTATGGGCACACACAGGGCTGTGGGCTTATCTGCAGGGTGGCCTGCGGATGTTGTCGATGGAGCATCTTAGTCTATGGGGAAGTGGGTAAAGGATTTGGGGAAGGGTCATGCAGGGTGTGAGTCTGGATCTAATTATTAGGATAAGAACGTTTTAGAAAGGTGAAGAAGTAAGGGAGCAAAGTTGGAGGTGGCCACCAGCTGGTGTTATGTGAAAGTGTTTTCCTGAAGTCCTTGAAGATCCAGGGATTTGGAGTTAAGCAAGAGATGTGATTTGATTTGCATGTTAAAATCTTCAGAATGTACTGGGTTGTTAGGAAACTGGAGTTAGGTAGGCCATTTGGCGGGGCTTCCTAGGTGGTGCTAGTGGTAAAGAGCTGGCCTGCCAATGCAGGAGATGTAAGAGACACAGGTTCAATCCCTGGGTCGAGAAGATCCCCTGGAGGAGAGCATGGCAACCCACTCTGGTATTCTTTCCTGGAGAATCCCATGGACAGAGGTGTTTGGCAGGCTGCGGTCCAAAGGATTGCACAGAGTTGGGCATGACTGAAGCAACTTAGCACACATACACGCAGGCAGGATGCTAGGTGAGAGCAGATGAGCCCCTGAATTAAAGTTTGCAAATTGCAGAAGGCAATCCTAAAAATGGATAGTGAGTTTGAGAACTAGAATAGTGATTGTTGTTTAAAGAATATAAGTATCATCTTATGAACTCATTCCTTAAGTGGAACTTAATAGGACCAATTCTTCTCCATATAACCAAACATCTAGGTGATAAAGGCCTTGAACTCAAAGGGCTAATGAGATGTTTAGAGAAACTGAAAATAACTTACAGATTGGAAATAGCTTTGGACTTCCTTGGTAGTTCAATTGGTAAAGTATTTGCCTGCAATGCAGAAGACCCAGGTTCAATTCCTGGGTCAGGAAGATCACCTGGAGAGGGATAGCCTACCCACTCCAGTATTCTTGGGCTTCCATTGTGGCTCAGCTGGTAAAGAATCCACCAGTGTGGGAGACCTGGGTTCGATCCCTGGGTTGGGAAGATCCCCTGGAGAAGGGAAAGGCTACCCACTCTAGTATTCTGGTCTGGAGAATTCCATGGGCTAGTCCATGGGGTTGCAAAGAGTTGGACACGACTGAGCGACTTTCACTTCACTTCACTTGACTTTTAAATGTGAGAAAAAGGGCACTTGGTGCCTGAAAACTTGTTTTATCTAAGTTAACCCCAGAGAGTCAGATATAATGAGAAAATATGACATGTGTCTGTACATAAAGATGCACATTACTTTCAGAAAATATCTGGATGAAATTTTCATTTTGGAAATATTTACCTTGTAAATACAAAGTCATGAGGCTTATGAATTTTTCTTACTCTCCTGATCACTAAACTTAAAGGAGTGTTCCAAAGAACTAAATGTTACTTTAGTGTATGCAGAGGGCACCGTCTGTGTGGAATAGAGCTGCATTTGTTCTTTCCAAGCCTTGGGTCACACTGTACTCTCACCTTTATTTATTTACTCATTTTTTTTCTTAAACACTTTATTATGCTGGATATTAATTTTAAAGAAATAAGTTATTTCTTTCAGATATGCTGTTTATCCCCAGAGTTCTAAGGTCATAAGTTAAAAAAAAATGTAAACCATGAACGACCTCTTTTTGAAGTTACTATAGTGTGTAACTTTTTGTCCCATTTGAATCACATGTCCTTAAAGAATTACTCTCAAATAATGGAAATAGGAATCACTGTCAATATTTGTTACCATGTGGATTCTTAGTTTTTTACCTCCGGGGATTTTTAAAAACATCTGAGAATCTATCTTTAAATCCCACACCTGGTGATTTTGATGCAGGAAGTATGTAGATGATCCTTTAAAAGACGGTACTTTTCCAACTATGTGAACAGCTGTGTGAAAATACTGGTGTACATATAACAAGATCATTAGATATCCTGAAAAAATCCTGTTGTATTGAATTTCCTGTTAAGTGAAAGAATATTTTTGGAAAGAACTTTGTAAAGCCCCATTAGTGCTTCGCTGGTCATTTGAGTAATCTTGACTGTGATGATTGTATTTTGAAGCAAGCTGGCTGTGACCATGTGTTAAACTCCAAGGCCAGGAGAGACAAATGTGGCGTGTGTGGTGGGGATAACTCCTCCTGCAGAACAACGGCAGGTGTCTTCAACAGTGCACATTATGGTGAGCTTTGCAGTTTTTTCCAGTTTTCTCTTTGGGTATAATAATGGGACTATATCATTAAGGAATAATAGTGTTGGTTTGTTATTGTTTATTCTGTATTTTAGTTCAGAATGATAATTAAATCTTGTACAAGTTGTAGGATTGAATTAATGAATTTACCTGCTTAAGACAAGTTTAATTCTTAAAAAAAAATTAGGTGCATTTATTAGAGTAAATCCAGTACAATTTGACAATGAAGTGTAAATAGTCCCCCTGTCGTACCAGTTAGTGAAGTGTTTTTACTGCTGCTTCTGTAATCTATATTGTATATGTTTATAATCTTTCCAGGAAATTTGCTTTCAATTGTTTTTAATCATCTGAACCACATGTTTTCTGTGTGACCTGGCCTATCTGTTGTTTTTTATTGATGATATATTGAAACTGATTGAAGGTGAAGGATGAAACCATTAACTTAAATGTTAATTTGGAATTATCATTGCATTTGATTTTTTAGGAAGTCTGGATTACAGATATAATTGATATTTGGCCATGGCTTCATTTTTCTTGAAAATTTTTATGAGAATATATCAGATATTTTCCATTAAATTTCCTGAGAAATGTTTTTTATTTTTATGGTAATAAAAACAACCCTTTAACACTTTCTTTGCAAAATAAATGATGTATGTTTTACAGTTTTATTGTTCAGCTTCAAATTGTATTCACATGTTTTTGAACAGAGTTGTTTAAGTTAATAAGAATTGCTTCAATTAAAGCAGTGTCATTTAGAACAGTATATTTATATGAAAAGTGTAGAACATTTGCTACTCTGATCATGCTTATGCATCTAAGTTACTAGATGATTTGACATTATTTTTCTAGTTGTTATGATTATTTCTTGGGACCCATATATATTTGATCCCTTTTTATCACCAGTGGCACACATTTATCAAAGTCTGGTCTGTATTCTCTGAAACGTATTTTTGCTATATAAAGCTGAATACACCAAATTAGAATTTAAACTTGCTAAAATTGTGCTATGAATTAATCAGTTTGCAAATGGAAAAAGAGTAAATTCATGTGCAGGTTCTGAACAGCATTTGTCACATTACTGCCCCCTAGTGATAGCTTTCATCTTGGCACATTTGCAATGCCTTGGAATACTTTCTTGAAAAGCATAGCAAAGACATAAATAGTGGGGCTAGTAGGAACATTTTATAGTGAAAAAGAATCATGAGTCAAATTATTTTTGTCGGCTTATAATTTACAACCAGTATGTGTTAAATGTATACAGAATAATCATACCATTTATCACCTTATATTTAAATGTGATATCTTAAAGAGATATAAATAAATAAGGCTGCTCTGAAAACGCGAGATAATCTCATATGAGACTTGACCTCTTTTAAAACTTCCTCTTCTAACGTTAACTTCATATTTATAAAAGTTAATGTATATTAAAAGTTTCAACTCTTTTTGTTTTTATATTAAATGAAAGAGGAAAATCCTAATAAGAGAAAGGAAAATGTTAGAATAATATCGCTAGAACAGAATTAATTGTTGACTTAAAACCTGAGAGTATTTGGAAAGCGATGTGACATGAGTGGTTTTAGTGCAGGAAAAATGTTTCTTGTTTAATGTATATTTGTATATGTAATGTAATGTATATTTGATATAGTGTTTCCTCATATTTTGAGAAGTGCCAGTGTTATTGAATTTGGTCTCATAAAACATTTCTCTAGAGTAAACTTTTTACTTTTCTCTTGACAATTTGTTAGTAGACTTTAAAAAATAATGTAAAATTTGGGGGATGGCTATGGAGATTTCTGCTTACACTGGAACATAAGAGCTTAAGAAAAATATTTCTCTTTAACGTTCACTATTTTGCTGCTCACTGAGTCTGTGTAAACATCTCGCAATGGTCAACTATTTTTATATCTCCCGAATTTGTGAATAGCATTTGGAATCCTGTATTTTTCCCCATTAGGAAGTGTAAAATGTAAAAGTATTGGTCACATTTAAAAATTAGTATGTGTTAAATAGTTCAGGAGCTAAATTACTAGATTTATTTGTATTCTATATTCAGAATTTTAAAAGTAAGAGAAATTAGGAAGTGCACCTTAAGAATCCCAAACTCTGTGTTTCTAGACAACAGCTACTTTTTCTTAATCCTTAGTAATTTGTGTAAGACAGTGATTCAAAAAGAATAAGCACATATCATCTTTCAGAGATAAAATGAAATTAAGTCTGACTACACTATTCAGATTTTTCACTCAGCAGTACTAGCCTCTGGGCCATCTGCTTTTTGTGAAAGTTAACATGTATAAAATTATATTGCAGGTTATAATGTCGTTGTAAAGATTCCCCCAGGAGCAACAAACATTGATATTCTTCAGCACAGCTATTCTGGAAAACCAGAAGATGACAATTACCTGGGTAAACATTTTTAGTTAAATGGCAGCCAGTATGTGCAGTTTCATGGAGGTCTGTGGTTGTAAATTCTTGGAAGGCAAGAAGAGCCCCTTGAATAAACATGCAGTTTCGGCTCAGACTAAGCCAAGTCATCTAACACATATATGTGTTCTCTTTTTGAATTACACACCATATCCTATTTTAAAGATACTGAATTAAATTCTGGAAGACAAATTAAGCTTTTTTCCCCATGAGGGTGTTTTAGATAACCAGAGGTTATATTCAGTTAAAGTCGTGTGTGTATTTAGAATACAGTTCTCTAGTTGTAAACCTCATTGGGGTTAAATGTTTTTAAAAAAGTGAAGTTGCTCAGTTGTGTCCGACTCTTTGCGACCCCATGGACTGTAGCCTACCAGGCTCCTCTGTCCATGGGATTTTCCAGGCAAGAGTACTGGAGTGGGTTGCCATTGCCTTCTGCAGAGGATCTTCCTAACCTAGGGATCGAACCTGGGTCTCCCACATTGTAGGCAGATACTTTACCATCTGAGCCACCAGGGAAGGGAAATGTTTTTAATTTGTTTTCTTAAATGTCTTTACCATGTAGCACAAGTCTTTAAATACAATTTTTATTGTGATTGTATTTTTATTGCTCTTATATTACAGAAAGAGAACTATAGTTTCATATTTTTAGATGTTAATGAACATAGTCCTAATATATTGTCTTTTAACTATTTATAGAGTATACATTTCAGTTGTTATTTACTTTTTGGAAATTGACTTATAGTTTAAAGCATTTCACTTAGGCCCAGAGATGAAAAGAATGCTTTACAAATCTTTGTTTCTGTCTGATAAATACCTTAATATTGACTTACATGTAATTCACTAAGCTGGTGATATAAAGCTGATACTGAAAAAACACTTGCCTCACATTAATGAAATGTGAAATATTGGCTCAAGTAATCAATGCTTTGAATTGACTGGGAATCTGAGTCTATAATGAACAGCCCATTTCAGAAATTATCTTTGGCCTTATAAAGTCAATTGTAGAAAGAACAACTGCTGAATGGATGCAGATTTTCCTTCCAGGGTGATGAAAAAATTTAGAAAACTAGTAGAGTTTGCACAACATTGTGAATGCCCTATATGCCATCAAGTTGTGAATGCCCTATATGCCATCAAGTTGTGAATGCACTATATGCCATCAAGTTGTGAATGCACTATATGCCATCAAGTTGTTCAATTTAAAATGGTTAATTCTGGTTTTGTTAATTTCACCTCTATTAAAAAAAAGCAAAAAAATTTCCTAAAGAAAATCAAGTGTAAATGTTTTAACTTTACATTTAGTTGCACTTCTTTTTCTTTTGCATATACATAGATATATGCCATATATATCATATGGTATAGACATATGCCATATGTATTATAGATAATTTATTATGTCTCTCTTAGGATCCAGATGTAGCTATTTGGTTGTGCTTAAGTTTAAAGATTAGAAATGTTCACTACTAAAATATCAATATACTTTGTAAAAGAAATACTAATGGAAATATCAAAATCTAAATACGGTAGCAAAATATATGTGTGGAGTGTTTAGAAAGGACTTGTAATTTGCTTTGGTAACTAAAAATGCTGAAATGTAGTTTTTGTCAGTAAAGTTTTATTTCCCTTAGTTTTAGTGTAACAGGCAGTCCTTTAAACAGGCCTGTCCACTTTTGATAATGTGCAAATTTACAGAGTGATTTTCATTTTGTTGGTTCTTCACTGAATTTGGTGTAGTGTATAAAGACAATCACAATAGTCTACACAGACATAGAATCACCAGACATATTTGGTAGTATTTCCTTTAGCATTGGTTCAAGGTGTGTAGTATTTGTTAAGTTTAGTCATGGTAACTTGTGTGCTTTGGGTAGGATTTCTTGGAAGACCAAATAAGTGTTTTCCAAAAAGATTATTGCATTGAGAAGTAGAGTAAATCAGCAAAGATGTATTTAATTAAGATGGGGGTTTTATTAGTATAAAATTTAAAATATTAGACACCCTCTTGAAAATATAAACTAACAGCACAGTGCTTTACAATTTATACACTTTAAAAACATTTTCCAAATTTGATTCAAATTAAAACCCTGTGAGTTGGGAATTTTTATTATTCCTATTATGCAATTATAAAGCAAGTAGTTTATCCCAGATCACATAGTAATTAATTGGAACAAGTTGAATTTAAATCAACTGTACTAAGTCCTGTGGTCTTTTTACTACCACAACACTGTGGACAGCATGCAATTTTGTATTTACAAAAGTAACAAATTATGAATATATACTCCATTCCATACTCATATACACATGTAAATATTAGTATATAGATAGACACACATATACTTAATTGATAGGCTGATGTTAATACCTATCCATGGGAAAGAGCAAGAATCACCAGGGGCAAGAACAGAGGGGGTGGTGGGAGGGTTCTGAAAAAGTAGCCACTCACACAGGCATGAGCAATGATGAGTGCCTCCCATGAAAAAGATCCAGATGTTTACGGAGGGAGGAGTGGAGAGGCATGGGCTTTTGAAATATTGACCTAGGATGTCGAAGCTTTGTACATGTTTTCCAAGGTAAACAGAGCACTATAGCAGCCTGGCTGCCCTTTCTTTCCTCCCCGTGGATGACCAGGATTGATATAGCTGATCTGTCTGCATGACTTCTCTCTGTTTTTCCACTTCCTGTATGTCTCTCTTGGTGCTGCATGCTTTGTGGATGATGACCTTCTCAGAAAGAAAAATTATAGAGTGAATGTATTTTCACGGGTTTGGCTAATATGCTAAAGTTTTGCTGCTTATGGGTTAGATACCACTTTATAGTAAAATAAAGTTTATTTCCTCCTTATTAATTTATATTTATATTCTCTAACTGCAGAAGAAAAGAATGTGAATTGTAAAAGTTAAAACTGTTTCTGGACCGTTGACTGGTTTTGCTGTTTCATGAGCACTATCCTTTTACAGCATTATCGGACACTCAAGGGAATTTTCTTTTGAATGGGAATTTTGTTGTAAGTATGTCCAAAAGGGAAATCAACGTACAAGGAGCTATTTTTGAATACAGTGGTTCAAACAACTCAATTGAAAGGATTAATAGTACTGATCGACTGGAAGAAGAACTTGTTTTGCAGGTAAATTCTTAGTAGTTGTTACTAAGACTGTTTTAATCATACTAGTAAAATATGATGCTTACATAAGTGCTTTATATTTATTATTAAACATAAACTGATGTCTTTTAAGAATATATCTTTTATGAACTGATTGTGTGCCCCTTTGTATTTTTATTGAGGTTTTGTGTGTGGGTAATCTATACAACCCTGATGTACGTTATTCCTTCAATATCCCCGTGGAAGAGAAGAGTGATCTGTTCGCATGGGACCCATATGGACCGTGGCAAGACTGTACAAAAATGTGTCAAGGTACACTAGGATTAAACAAAGGGGACATAAGTTCAGCTGTGGCATGCTGGTATAATTTGGGGTGCTCTTGAGTCTGGCTGCCTGTGGAACCCACATACTTATACCACACAGACTTAACAAAGATTTCCCGTCTTTGTTCTCTGCCTGCTTTTCTCTCCACTCATTCTGGGCTTCTTATACTTAACAGCCTCCCTTATCTCAACCCTTTTCAGCATTTTCCATCACAGCTCCTCTCCTACCATGTCCTTAATCTCTTTCTTGCAGTTACAGAAAGGGTCCCTTACTGTGACACTGTTTTCTAGTGAAATGCTCACCTTCTTGTCCTTTTCCTTCCATCCTCTTTCCCAGACACCCATCTCCTTCTTTTAGTCTTCTGGGGTCAACATTCTTTCATTATTAATTTATATTTATATTCTCTAACTGCAGAAGAAAAGAATGTGAATTGTAAAAGTTAAAACTGTTTCTGGACCGTTGACTGGTTTTGCTGTTTCATGAGCACTATCCTTTTACAGCATTATCGGACACTCAAGGGAATTTTCTTTTGAATGGGAATTTTGTTGTAAGTATGTCCAAAAGGGAAATCAACGTACAAGGAGCTATTTTTGAATACAGTGGTTCAAACAACTCAATTGAAAGGATTAATAGTACTGATCGACTGGAAGAAGAACTTGTTTTGCAGGTAAATTCTTAGTAGTTGTTACTAAGACAGTTTTAATCATACTAGTAAAATATGATGCTTACATAAGTGCTTTGTATTTATTATTAAACATAAACTGATGTCTTTTAAGAATATATCTTTTATGAACTGATTGTGTGCCCCTTTGTATTTTTATTGAGGTTTTGTGTGTGGGTAATCTATACAACCCTGATGTACGTTATTCCTTCAATATCCCCGTGGAAGAGAAGAGTGATCTGTTCGCATGGGACCCATATGGACCGTGGCAAGACTGTACAAAAATGTGTCAAGGTACACTAGGATTAAACAAAGGGGACATAAGTTCAGCTGTGGCATGCTGGTATAATTTGGGGTGCTCTTGAGTCTGGCTGCCTGTGGAACCCACATACTTATACCACACAGACTTAACAAAGATTTCCCGTCTTTGTTCTCTGCCTGCTTTTCTCTCCACTCATTCTGGGCTTCTTATACTTAACAGCCTCCCTTATCTCAACCCTTTTCAGCATTTTCCATCACAGCTCCTCTCCTACCATGTCCTTAATCTCTTTCTTGCAGTTACAGAAAGGGTCCCTTACTGTGACACTGTTTTCTAGTGAAATGCTCACCTTCTTGTCCTTTTCCTTCCATCCTCTTTCCCAGACACCCATCTCCTTCTTTTAGTCTTCTGGGGTCAACATTCTTTCATTCTCTTATTTCCCTTCTCTGATCCCAGGGAAGTGTGTTTGTACTGATGGATGAATAACTGAAAGGAGCACGGGGGGATGAAAAAGCTGTGCAGTTATAGTAGAAAAGCAAATGAAGAGACTGATATCTTTGGGCAATCTATAATTATGAATACCTGGTTGTGTGAGGCTACGTTTGTTTGAATCAGTAAATGTTTATCAACAGACTATTTTGTTTTGGATTATTAGGGCCCTGATATTGCATTCAAGTTTTAAGTCTAGTGGATGAAACAGAAGAATGAGTAAATTTTTTTAATTTTAAATGATAAAAGCCGTGCCACAGGTATACATCGAGGAGACCCCAGGAAAGATGGAGTGAGCAGTTTGAGGAGGTGGAATGGGAAGATAGAAATTGGTGTGGAGTGGAAAAGTAGTTCCCAGGGACACGAGAGACAAGGTCTGGGAATTAGGGGAGCAGTGAGTCAGAGGAGAAGCAGCTTAGAACAGTACAGAAATGAGCTGAGAGAAGGTAGGTGACCAGAGGCAGTAATCACAGATGGGAGCTTGAAGGGCATGTTAACAAACTGACCTCAAGGTACCAAAGGAATGGAGGTATCCCATCCCAGCGAAAGGCGCAGACTTGGTCCTGTGGTTCTAGGACATCAGTGTCCGGATGCTGGTGTGGAAACAGGCATTCCTGTTTGAACAGTGTCTCGGGGGAGGGAGACTGAAGTAGATGATGCCAGGCTGACTGGAGCAAACACTGCAAGTAGGAACAAAGCTTTTTAACACAGACGATGGAGGCATTCATTTTGACAAAAAGAATCTGAATGTGCTTTATAGAAGATCATATAGAAGTGGTTTGGGCATCTGGGACTAGCATTCCAGCATAACTGGGTAAACTGGTCTGTGGCAGTAGATATGGGGAGCTAGAAGAAATCTAAATACATAGTTGAATGAAGGGACATTCTAAAATTTGGGGGACACACCAAATAAACACATAACAAGATCCAAAATGAAAGGCTGGAGGAGGCATTTTGAGATAGTTTGAGAGTCTGGACCAGGAAAGATCTCTTTCCCATAGAAGGAAAGGAGCTAGTAATTCAGTTGCCACAAAGTATATTCTATGATCATAGTTCCTTTTGTACCTGTGTCACTTTGGGGTTTCTCTAAAGTGCAGTTTCTTTAGTTTTGTTTTCTTGTTTCCCTGTGCACTGAAAATGATCAGGCTCCAAATGTTTTGTGGAGGCTGTAAATTTTGTGTTAATATTTTGGAGCTCTATATTCAGTGTAATTGGTTTCAGCTTTCCTTTCCTTTTTCTTGTCTGTTGCTCCCTTGGCCCTCTTCTCTCCGCTCTAACCTGGCCATGTTGCTTTTCAGGCTTGTGACATGACTGTCACCACACGCTTTCCCTTCTTCATCATCCTGGGAGGTCTCTTTAACTTTCTTCTGTGTTGGATTCCCTGTGTCTCAAATTCTGTGAATTCTTCTCTTTATTTCCTCCACTGAGGATAACATATCTGTCGGAAATTTCCTGAGAAAGCAAGGCAGGTTTTTGAGACCTTTCCTGTCTGAAAATGGCATTATTCTGTCCTCACCCTTGATTGATAGCTTGGCTCGTATAAAATTCTAAGATAGATTATTTTCCTTTAGAATGCTGAAAATCTTGTTTTCCAATCTCCAGTGCTTGGATATGATACTTCCTGGTATGGAAATTTTGTGTCTCCCTTCCTAAATTCTGGGAGTGAGAAATGTCAGGACAATGTGTGTTGGCTTGGCTTTTCCTTTCATCTATTTTCCTGATAATTAGGACGCCTTCCAAACTGGAAACACAGATTCTTTGATCTGAGAAGTTTTATGTATGATATCTTTGATAATTTATTCACATTAAAATTTCTCTTCTATCTTGTAAAATTTATATTGTCTGGATATACAGCCTCCTGGTCTGATCTCTTATCTCGTAATTTTCTCTCCAAATGTACATTTTTTTTCTTAGTGTTTCTCATCAACAGCTTGCTTTTGTTTCGTGGATGCAATACCTGTGTCTGTGAGAGTATTAATTGTAGTTTTGGAACTTTCTTCTACTCCCTGACATATGTGTTTCCTCTTAATTCTGTTTCTGCTTATTTTGGTCTCTTTTGTGTGAGTGTCTTTCCTAAATTGCCTACTGATCCTTTGATGTTTTTTCATATTTAAGACTAAAATGCTAATTGAAAGTCCTGTGTGGGTTAAATAAGTCTTCTTATAGTTCTTTACTATGTCTCTGGGGGAAAGGCTCAAATGTCGCTGTCATTTAATCTTTTTTCTTGAGCTAAAGAATTTTCCAAGAAAGGAATTCTCCCATCTTCTGCTGGCCAGTGAGGGGACTGGAGAAACTGTAAAAATTGGCTTGGAGCCAGAGGGAAATGGAGGGTGAGCCCAGTGGGCCTGAATCTCATCATTTCAGTATGGAGACTTTTACTGAGTCCCTCTCTTTTCAGTACAGTGCTTCCCCAGCTTTCCTCAGCTGCTGTGTGTGTGCCCCCAAATTCACCTGCTCTGGAGCTGTGCTATCCAGAATGGTAGTTACTAGCCACATGTGGCTATCCCATTGAAGTATGTATGACTTAGTATGAAAAAAGAATGTGAAACATAACATCGATAGTGTTTCTGTTGACCCTGTGTGGAAATGATCCTATTTGGATATTTGTATCTTTTTATTTTTTCATGTCACCACAAGACAATGGAAAATTACATGTGGTTCACATTGTTTTTATTAGATGGCACTACTGTTGACTCTTAGGTGGAAGTCTGACTGTTCTTCATGAATACTTTTCAATCACTTCTCCGTTTTTTCAGGCCTGTGCCTCACACATTCACCTCTTCAGAGGAACCTGAAGCTGTTTTTGATTCCTGGGCTTTGCTTGGATTCTGTGGCATGAATGGTTTGTTTCTTACTTTCTTCCTCCACAGGCTCAGGTTTCAGCTTCCTTGGCTCTGTTAAAATAGTAATTTCCATCTTCTTTTCATATTTAAAATGCCCTTTTCCTGCCTACTGTTTCCTCTTTTATTCTTTTTGTTCTTTCAGGTTTTTGCCTTTTCAAAATTCTTTATAGTCATTTCAGATGGTATGCATGCAGAAATAAACATGCATGTTCATGTTTCGCCAAGTGAAAGTATACAGTTGAACTTGGAGAAAACAGAAATTTGATCATGCCACTGACAGCTTGAACTTTTTCCTGTCTCTTCATTGCAAAAAGTGCAAAGTTCAGTCTACTCTGGCCTCTCTGGCTTCTCTAAGTTTCCTTGACTGTGGTTATATACCATATAAACAACTGCTAAATCTCAGTGACTTAGAACAACAAACTTTATTTCTTGCTCATACTGTGTGGTGGCTGTTAATTGGTACTGACTCTTCTTCAGCTTGTTATCTGCATCCATGTCATTTTCAAACAAATTAATAGACTTTATTTTTTTCAGAGGGGTTTTACGTTTGGGTTCAATCCCTGGGTTGGGAAAGTCCCCTGGAGAAGGGAACAGCTGCCCACTCCAATATCCTTGCCTGGAGAATTCCATGGACAGAGGAGCCTGGCAGGCTGTAGTCAGTCACAAATAGTCAGACACCACTAAGTGACTTTCACTTTCACACTAGGTTTATAGAAAAGTTGAGCAAAAACTATAAAAAATTCTCATATTCTCTCTTCTTCCACAACCCCTCCCCACTTCCCCTATTATTACCATCTTGCATTCATGTGGCACATTTATTCTAGTTGCTCCATTATTATCAACTGAAGTCTGACCATGCTGCCTTTTCATTCATGATTCCAGGCTGAAAGATCAGCCCCCATCGGGAGAAGGTGTTTTGGAAACAGAGAAAAAAGTTTGCAGAAGCAAGAAAAGACTTTTAGAACTTCTGCTTGGAACTGGAATAGTCACATTCCCTTCCAGGTGGTTGGCACAAACCTGCTGTCAATGGGCAGGGAAGTTTGCTCTTCCCCAAAGAAGTTATAGAAATGTTGTAGCAAGTAGAGATGTGTGATTTTGTTACAGCGAAAAGGCAAGCAAATAATGGGGAGCAGTAGCATACTGTATCATATCAGCATGGACCCTGACCGCTCAGTTCTCCACGAGCAACCCTTCCATCCAGCTGTAATAAATTTCTTCCTACTTCACACACTTGTCCCACCTTCCTTACATCTCCTTACTTAGCAAACTCCTCAGTGTTTCAGGATTCAGCTTGCTTATTGTAGAAAGTCATTCCTGACTAGTTCAATATGCTTGCCTATTTGTATCCTATGTTGGAATTGTTTTTGCTTTCTTAGCTGCATCCTTCAAGCTATTAGCAGAAGTTAAATTATTCTGGAACATCTCCTTATGTGAGTTTTCCTTTAATTTTTAATTTTCATTTGACTTTGGCCAAGGTCTTCATAGAAGAAAAATTACTTGTATACGTAAGAGTGATCATATGGTCATGTCTGATCAAAGCTGTGACCACTTACCACTTCCATTGTTGGTGACTGAAAGGTGCAATACAGACTGTGAACTAAGGTAAGTAAAAGAGAAATAATGTATAATGTAACCAGATAAAAATCAATAACTGAGATAAGATATAAAGAATCTACTGCCTGGTATAAGGTGGACATGTAATTAATATCCGTCCTTTCCCATTCCCTTAAAAAACTTTAGACCTGCTAATTTATTGTGAAACTCAACAATTGGGCTTGAGATTTTTATTCATAGTATTTGCTTAATTTCAGTATAGAGACCTTGATATTTTGTAAGAAATGGAAACAAATTTGTCTGTAAAATAAATACAGAAAAACTCTAATCTGAAAACCTATGGTTTAAAGCTCTGGAACAATACATTTAATAGCTTGATCCTCTAATTCCCATTGAACTCATGACCAATAAACTTTTAAAGTTTGAGGATTAGAGAATCAATGATTTATTTGTCTATCTTATCAGCATTTTGTCCATTAAACAGTAAGTAACGAGATCCTAGATCATGGCAGGCAAGTTTTTTCTTCTAAAATTCTTGTCATTTGTTTTCTTGTGGTGGGTCTTACAGTGAAGCTAAGAGCAATAACCCCATCTAGCAGGTGACAGCCGACATTCAGGGATGGCCAGAATCTCTTTTACTCAGCATGGATGAGAATTTTTATGTATTTGTGGTGTTGTTTGGAGACATATGGTAGAAGGCTAGTGGTAGAACGGCATGTACAAGTTGCATCCACTGCCTTGCAGTAGAGTGAAGTGCAACGAAATCCTTGAGATGCTTTTCAGATGGAAAGAAACTCCATGAATTCTCTTCTTTGCGGTACTGCTGCGCTCATATTGTCTGAGAGATTGCTAGACTATAATTGGGATAATTTGGCTAACGCTGGCAGATTTTACTTGTGGGAAAAAAAATGTTCTCTCTGAAAACATGTCTAAAAGTAGATTATATGAGTTAATGAGAAAATGTGATATGCTTTATAAAGACAAGTTTACCAACTTTTAAAGGTTTTGATGTAGTCATGTTCCCAGATGTTCTCTGATCCTCAGTTAAATAAAGATGTTGCATAGGGAGACACCACCTGATTATAGGTCGGATATATTTGGTTATAGTTTTAGATCTGCTACTAAGTAACCTTAGTCTCAATCTTAATCTCAGCCAGTTGTTTTCAAAGGTCTAGGGAGAGGCTTGGGATTCCTAGGAAGAGAACCCATATTTCCTTGGGGTTCCTCTAGGGTGAGGCTTGGGATTCCTCCAAATGCCTGGGTGTAGTGCTGGTTCTATACCTCCAGCTTTAACCAGACAGCTCCATTTTTATGGGTTTGGAGTAAATGTTAAATTTTATTTAGAGAAAAGTAAAATTTCTGACAGAAGCCAAGCATATATACCATTTGAATGCACAGCATCACTGGGCTTCATTTTCTTATCTGTATAATGAAAGTTTGGACTCTATGATCTCTAAGAAGTTTTCATCACTAAATCAATGATATATCAAATATTTTTACTGTGGCTTGTCTATAAATTCTAACAATTTTTAAAGTTGAATAATATGTGTGAATTTTTCTGAATCCATGTTTTAAATTGTGTTCATCAGAATACCTCCTAAAGCATAATAACATCATTTTTTGTAGGTGGCACATCATTGGCAAAAGTGAATGTTCAACCCTTTGCGGTCAAGGATACAAGTCATTGGACGTCCACTGTATGAAGTATTCCATTCATAAAGGACAGACTGTTCCCGTAGATGACCACTACTGCGGTGACCAACTTAAACCTCCAACCCGAGAACCCTGCCATGGTGATTGTGTCTTAACAAGGTGGCATTATTTAGAATGGTCTCAGGTACAAAGAAAAAAGTATAGCTTAAGACAAGTTGCTCCTTCATTTTACTTCTAATTAAATATTTGTTACTTCAGAGTAGCACTTTTATTAAAATTTTTATTTTGTGTCCATTTTTCACCACTTTTCTTTTTTTAATCAGTGTTCCAGAAGTTGTGGAGGAGGGGAGAGGTCTCGAGAATCTTACTGTATAAATAACTTTGGCCACCGTCTTGCTGACAGAGAATGCCAGGAACTACCCCGAGTGACAATAGAGAATTGCAATGAATTTTCCTGTCCCAGTTGGGCCACTAGTGAGTGGAGTGAGGTAACATTAAACACTTGAGGCTTAGAACTGTTATAACATTGTACAGGAGATCTTTGTAATGGAAGGCTATGTAATTCAAAAAATATTTCAATTTGCTTTATCATTTGGTAAATAACTGTATTATCAAGGTAGTAAAATTTAAAAATGTTTTGTCCTTAAGCTATTTACAGTGTCTGGTCAACAATGACATAATTGGCATTTAATCTGTAACCATTTTCATAGTGGGCTTCCCTGGTGGCTCAGATGGTAAAGAATCCACCTGCAATGTGGGAGACCTGGGATCGATCCCTGGGTTGGGAAGATTCCTGGAGAAGGGCATGGTAACCCACTCCAGTATTCTTGTCTGGAGAATCCCTATGGAGAGAGGAGCCTGGCAGGCTACAGTCTATGGGGTCGCAAAAAGTCAGACATGACTGAGTGACTAAGTACTTTTTCATGGTGTGCACAGTAAGCTGAGATACATACTTGTTCTAAGGTCAGTTTTGTACCTTTATTTCTGGAACAAATAGATGTTGTGCTGGGATTTGGGCAGCAGAAGTTTGGGGTGGCTGGTTTTACCCCATGAATATCTCTGGTTTTTCTGAGGCGTGGAGGGAAAATGTCCTTAAGAATGATCTTTAACTGTATTTGAATATACAAATTGATCATTATGTTTTTTGGGGGTATTTGTGTTGACTAATACTGAANCTCTGGTTCCTCTGCCTTTTCTAAAACCAGCTTGAACATCTGGAAGTTAATGGTTCACATATTGCTGAGGCCTGGCTTGGAGAATTTTAAGCATTACTTTACTAGCGTGTGAGATGAGTGCAATTGTGCGGTAGTGAGCATTCTTTGGTATTGCCTATTTTATTAGTATCTATATAAATTTGAATAAAGATGTATATTGATTAAATTTGCTCAGTTTCAGTCTAGAATCTGGAATAAAGGACTAATAAAAACATCTACTGAAAATAGATTCTTAACTGTGTACATGTTAAGAAAATTAAGTTTATGTAATGTCTGAGCAATGGTGTTTGGTATCTGCTTATATTCTTCCAGTGCACAGCCACGTGTGGACAGGGGTACCAGATGCGTGCTGTGAAATGTGTCAACGAGCTACATAGTGCAATGCTAGATGACAGACTGTGCCATGGAGCTAGTCGCCCAAGTGACAGGCAGGTAAATGACACCTCTCCATGGATTATAAACAAAAATGTTTGATACAGGAAGATTATTGGTGTGTTAAAATTATTTCCGTATGTATTTTTCCACTTAACTGTATATGCCTTAAAAATGTATGTGGGCATCAGAGAGTTTATTGTTCTTGGTTTTGCCAGCTTTATTGAAGGATTTGTTTTTACTCTTTATCTGATATTGGATAACTCATGTGACTTATGTTTCCATCCTTTGAACTACAGAAGGATGATGCATTATTAGGAGTATAATGAACTTCTCAAGTGTGTGGTGTTTCTTAAGGTAGTGATCTGTTTTCATTCAGAAGGTTTCAGCTTAGTGCTATTTTTGAAAGACTATTACTCTTTTCTTTTTAAATCATCAGGCAGAATGATTCAAACTTTAGCCTTCAGAGTCATACTATCCTCTTTTAGCCCTTGATAGTACTTTGTACTTTTGGAAAATAAAAACCTTTATATCACTTATTTGTAGTTTACTATGCAGCTGTTCTTGACTTACACAATTGAAAGAAGAAGTATAGGATTTAGTATCAATCAGAGTGGTTAATTCATTAATGTTTTATGAGGTCCATTTTTCTTTTGAACAGGATTGTATTGTTACATCTTGCCCAGTTATCCCTAAAATTGGGGCCACTTCCTTGCCAGCTGTTCCCATGAGAAAGATAGCACAATGGCGATACGGTTCTTGGACCCCAGTAAGTGAATTTCTTTAAGAGGCAGTGTTTCTACTATGGAGGCTTTCAGGCATCCACAAAATAGTTGCTCCAGATTTGCCAAATTAGTATATGCATTCATTCTTAGGTATTTTGATGGAGATGGTAGTGAAAGAGCATAGGGTTTAGAATTAGGTAATTTAATAACTAAATCCTGTTCTGTCTTTCAAGAGCTCTGTTTCCCTGGGCAGGAATTTAAGTTTTATAGATCTGTTTTCTTTGAAAGAAGAAGTATAGGATTTAGTATCAATCAGAGTGGTTAATTCATTAATGTTTTATGAGGTCCATTTTTCTTTTGAACAGGATTGTATTGTTACATCTTGCCCAGTTATCCCTAAAATTGGGGCCACTTCCTTGCCAGCTGTTCCCATGAGAAAGATAGCACAATGGCGATATGGTTCTTGGACCCCAGTAAGTGAATTTCTTTAAGAGGCAGTGTTTCTACTATGGAGGCTTTCAGGCATCCACAAAATAGTTGCTCCAGATTTGCCAAATTAGTATATGCATTCATTCTTAGGTATTTTGATGGAGATGGTAGTGAAAGAGCATAGGGTTTAGAATTAGGTAATTTAATAACTAAATCCTGTTCTGTCTTTCAAGAGCTCTGTTTCCCTGGGCAGGAATTTAAGTTTTATAGATCTGTTTTCTAATCCTACCAAATGAGGATGATAATATTTATGTCACAGGCTGTTATGAGAAGCAGATGTGATATTAGACTCTTATTAGATTTGGAATATACACTTGCTTTAGTCTTATATGAAAGATATATTTTTAAGTTTCCTATATTCTCTGAATATTTTAATTATGAGATCCTATCTTCTCTATTACCTAGGTCTTTCAGAGTTGTCTTAAATGTTATCTTAAGATTCTCTTATCTATAATCTTTTCTGTTTCTTTAATTTTGACAAATAGCTAATCACTATTCTGAAACGTTGAGTGTTTTGTTTTATTATCACAAGCATCTGATTTGTGAAGTTTATTTTTTAAGCTCATTGGAATACTCACTGCTTTGTCTTTGACTCAGAAATGATAATATTTATAAATTAAGGTTTTTCAAGAATCTTGAGGTTCAGAAATTTGAACAACAACCAAGTGTAAGGGATGCGGGAGTGTCCTATATAATGCTTTGGTATGATTCAATTTTTCAGTGCTCCGTGTCTTGTGGAAGAGGAACTCAAGCCCGCTATGTAAGTTGTCGTGATGCTCATGATGGAATAGCGGATGAATCATTTTGTGCCCACTTACCCCGACCAGCTGAAATAGCTGTCTGTTTTAGCCCTTGTGGAGAGTGGCAAACAGGGAATTGGTCACCTGTAAGTACTTTTATGCAAAAAAAGTGAAATGAGAAATTTAAATATAATATTTGAACTTTGAGGTAATGCAGTTTATTGGCTAAATTTGTGATCAGTGTTCAGCTTCCTGTGGCCGTGGAAAAATGACTCGACAAGTTTTATGCATCAACTATCATCAGCCAGTTAATGAGAATCACTGTGACCCTGAAGTCCGCCCTGTGATAGAACAAGAATGTAATCTGGCAGCCTGCCCTCCCACGTACAGCCACTTTCCGAGTTCCTCTGAGCAGCCAAGCCATTTTCCAGGCCGGAATTTTCCATTAACTCACAAACCAGAAGATAATCAAAATCAGGGGGTCCATCCATCAATCAGAGGAAACCAGTGGAGAACCGGACCATGGGGATCAGTAAGCCCTCTTTACTGAGTTATACTGATTCTATAATTTTGTTATGTTACATGGCCTTTTAACAGATGTGTACATAATGACATCAGAGGCTTTTAATGCTAATTATTTCTGAAGATCAGTAGTTTAAATCTTAAAAAGATTAAGCAATTTTTGATGCAGATTGCAAATCTCTAGAGTTCTAATTGAATTATACACTAATGTGATATTACGATTACACAGGAATCCATTTGAAAAAAATCTTAAGAGTACATTATAGTAAAAATGAAATCTTTTAAGTCTTAAGCTTACCAATGTCTATGAAGAAAAAAATCAAATCCAGAAATTACTATGATAACAGTGCAGTAAGCTAGTGTAAAACCATGATTACTTTGTACAAAAAGTACAATTGTGGTTGGTATTTTGTATGAGATTAATGATACCAAGTAAAGAAAAACAATGTGATAGTTGGGACACAACATTATCTTTTATTTATTTATTTTTTTCCCCTTTCTAGTGAGACCTGAAAACTTGAATTCCTTTTTAGTTAATGCCTAGGACAAGGGTGAATTTTTTATGGCAAACTTTAAAGCCTTGCCTTCCTATCAATAAATTTTAATGAAACCCCTAGTAATACCCAGGTTTTTTTGACAGATATTCTTTATTCAAATTATGATTCCAAAGTGGGGGGGTTAATTTAGAGAGCTTGAAGTTGAGTCAAAGAAGTGTTTTTCTTTTGCTTTAGTGTTTTACAATGTAATTTTGTGACGTGGAATCTTCAGTCTGTGTGTTCCCGTGTTCCATCCTTCCAGTGCTCTAGCAGTTGTGCTGGAGGTGTTCAGCGCAGAGTTGTGGTCTGCCAGGACGAAAATGGACAAAGTGCCAGTTACTGCGATGCAGCATCCAAACCCCCAGAGTCAAAGCACTGTGATTCAGGACCTTGTCCACAGTGGAACTATGGAAGCTGGGGAGAAGTAAGTCCTACTGTCTCCTAAACTTGCGGAAATTATGACATCCCCTAAGACCCAAAGTTAAGCACTTCATATCCTTACTGTTGAATAATCTTACTTCACTATACTAGACAGATTTTTTAAAAATTGAGTCAGTAAAACTATAATCTTTTAATAAACATTGTGTCATGGTATAAATCACTCATTTATGATAGGAAATACATACTCCAGATTTTTTTCAGAATCCTGTGTGCTAGCCAGTAGGTGACTTCCTAATACCTCTCTAAACTAATATATTATTGTTTTAATTTCTTAGAAAATTAGACTAATATAAAGATAGAAAAATAGTGATATGTAGGCCTTGTTAATATCCTAATTATGGAACCATTCATTTGATGAATCTAAAATGAATAGCTATCAATTATTGAGCACTTTCTTCATGTCCTGACCTTTTAGTCACTGGGATTATGAGGATAATTTTTTAAATGGTTGCAATGAATATCAATTCCACCTATATTATGCATGAGAAAGAAGAAAAGACTTACATTTTCTTTGGATAAATAAAACAAGCCACCTAATTTAATTAGTCAAATATTTGTGTTTAATGATTTTTTAAAAATTAATTCATTTATTTTTGATTGCACCGGTCTCTGTTGCTGCGCTCGGGCTTTCCTTAGTTGCAGCAAACTGGGGTTCCTCTTTATCGCGATGCTCTGACTTCTCATTGCAGTGGCTTCTCCTGTTGCAGAGAACAGGCTCCAGGCGCATGGGCTTCAGTAGCTGGCAATATGCAAGCTCAGTAGTTGCGGCTCATAGGCTGTAAAGCTCAGGCTCAGTAATTGTGACGCACAGAGTTAGCTGCTCTGCAGTATGTGGAATCTTCCGGACCAGGGATCGAACCCCTGTCCCCTGCATTGGCAGGAGGTTTCCTATCCACTGCACCACCAGGGAAGTCCCCTGCTTAGTGATTTTCAGTACCTATTTTCTCTCCATAGGGAATTTGGAAATCATTGTTGAAAGATACACTTCTGATCAGGTGCTGATAAATATAAAAGTATGTCTTTAAAATATACTTTTACTATTTTCCAAAATGAAAGTAACTTTTTCAGTCCTGAGTTAATTCTTGTGAAAATTCAAATAATTTGAAACATTGTGAAAAAGATATGAACTTTTAATATTTGATGCATTTCCTGCCAGACTTTAGTTCTGTGTGGGTTTCAGAAGTCGGTTCATTAATTATAATGTTGCTTTGCCACCTGCTGTTCTCATGTAATAGATACACTGAACATCTTTCTATCTTTATAAACTTAGATTTTCCTTAATGGATACATAGTCCTCTTTTGATAGGATGCCATACATCATGTAGTTATTACCTATTACAGTGTTAATTTTCAAAATATTTTCTTTTAAAAAAAAAGGATGGAACTGCAACTTTGATTTATTTTTGAAGAAATGTTGAGAGTTATGAAGAAAGGATAAACTTTAAGCTTTAGCCATTCTGATTATGTCCTCATCACTGAATAAACCAACATAATATTCTCTTTGAAGCCACATAGTCTTTATCTTCTTTTTTATTTTTAGTGTACACAAACATGTGGAGGAGGAATAAAATCAAGATTTGTAATATGTCAGTTTCCCAATGGCCAGCTGTCACAAGAGCAAAACTGTGAAATGTTGAACAAGCCACCTAGTGTGGTACAGTGTCATGTACATGCTTGCCCTGATGATGTATCATGGCATCGGGGACCATGGAAATCGGTACGATAGTACTCTTATTTTTATCTTTCTGTTTTGTTTTATTCTGTCCCTTTTACTTTAATTTTCTCTCTTTATAAATTGTGATGCACACATTTTATCTTCCAATTTTTTTTAAAGCAGACCATTGGACATCTTGGCTTGTGTCATTAAATTTGATAGTTTGAAAGAGAATTCATTCAAGTACTGTAATATATACATATATATATAATAGTTTTATATGTATTTATTTTTTATAAGTGAATTTTGAACCATAGCACTAATCTAATGAAAGTGTGTTTCTCCAGTACACTTTTGGCTTGCCACAAATTAATTGAAAATGTTTTACTATTTGCATTTGTACCTAATGTTAACATTGTGCTTGCAACAATGGCAAGTTAAGGCTGTGTCTTGTTTGAGTGTATAACTGTTTGTGGCTTTTGTCTGTCAGTGTCCAGTAACTGATCTAAAAGCAAATAACATTTTTATCATTGTTAAACTGTAATATTTTATTTGGAAATGTGAAAATATTGTATTAAAAAAGAGAAATTTACTTACACAAAGTAAATTAATTGTTTACAATTTGTTACATACATCATGAAAAAGTATGATTTATATAGTAATTTATATGAATGTTCATATCTTCCACTGTGTGGAGTTACTGTGTTTTGGGCTGTTTTAATTTTTTATTTTTTGAAGCCATAGACAAAAATTCATAAATATTCATGAATGATTAATTTCTTCTAGTATTTTTCAACTACCAAGGCTTTGAAGAATAATTAATATATAGATATATTGAAACTAGCATTTTGGTCAATTTTGATATTTCAAATCACATACAACCAAGTATACTTCTTTCAGGTGATAAAATGATTGGAGTCTATAATTTATAATAAATTTATTAAATTAATTTATAATTAAGATTATAAAGTTAAACAGTTCTTTATTTGGAAAATAATTAACTCTGATTTTATATCCAAACCTGATGTATACACTTGTTTTGCTTCACCCAGGTCAAAGTTTTACAGTGAAATGTAAACCTGTTTCTATTCATCTATTTGAAGAATAGGTCAATTTCTAGTTCAGACTAAATTCATCTTTTTAGTCACTATGACTGATACAAAACAGCAGAGCATTTTAACTTTATGGGAAGATCTTAAATTGCTGCATTAGAATTAGAGAGATGTAACTTTTTGGTAACTAACAAAAGCATTTTGCTATGGAAAGCATTCACATAGTGCTTAAAATGTTCACTGACCATCTGCTATATCCTAGGGACTATACTGTCATGATAATATAAAGACGTATTTGTTACCCTATGTAGTTTACAATCTAATTGGAGAGATTTGAAGTCCTGTAAGAAGTCACTATAGATTTTTTTTTTGTTAGTCGTTTTTGGGTGGAAATTCACTTTCTCTGTAGTATATCTGTTACATTTTCTTTTGTTTTATTGGTTTAATTATAAGCCTAGTCGTTAATAAGACTTAATCCATAGATTGCCGCCTTGGAATTTGCTTCAATTAGGACAGCAGACATAAAGGTTTTATTTTCCCTATTCATTCATGAATTCATTCATTCACAAAGCATTAAACATTTACTCATGGCTTCTGCTTTGTGTTATATATTGAAGTTCATAAAATTAAGTGGTTTGAATCAGATCTTCTATATCAGGGATCAGCAAATTATCAAACCTGGCCCATTGTCTATTTTTATAAATAACTTTTATTGGAACACAGTCATGCACATTTTTAATGTATTATCTATGGCTGCTTTTGAGACTCTTAGACTCAATAGAGACTTTCTTTTACAATAGAGACTGGCCCTCAAAGCCTGAGATATTTACTACTTGGTCTTTCTGGGGAAAGTTTGTTGATTCCTGTTCTATTTAATAAACATCATGAAACTTTAAAAATTTGACATACCTAAATTTATAGTATGTTGGAATTGCAAATATTCATTTGGGATCAGTTTTAGATTTTTTCATCCTTAGTTTAATATTTTCAAATATTTTAAGGTTTATCAATCTTTTCTACATATTCACTATAGTATTTACATAATTTTGCCCCAGCTTTATTGAGATATGTAGTCATATTGTATAAGTTTAAGGTGTACAACCTCACACAATTTTGATTGTGTTGGAATGCATCAAATGCTATACTCCAATAATTTGTATCATGATGTTTCTTGGTATGTCATAAGTGAAAAACCTGGATGTTCACTGAAGACCCTTTGCAGAGATAACTTTGTCAACCTCACAAAAACAAGTGACCAAGAAAACAATAATTTCAAATTACCAAATAGTAAAACAGAAGTCTATAATTCTTCATTGTTTATTACATGTCTGTTCCACAAAAGAGTTCTTTGATTAATTAAAACAGAAGTCTATAATTCTTCATTGTTTATTACATGTCTGTTCCACAAAGGAGTTCATTGATTAATTCAGTCTTTGCACTAGTAAAGAACTGTAAATTTTTTGATAAATTGAAGATGATTTTTAAAATTACAATAATTTTATTTATTAACTTTTGATAAAGTAAATATATATCATTAAAGTTCTTGGATTTCTTATTATATGAAGAATTTTAATCCTTAAATTAGCCTTTTATATTAAAAGGGATTAAGGGATCTGAAGTTTTATTGTTAAAACCAGTTATAACCTTTTAATTTACCTCTTTCAGTGTTGCTATGTATTAGCCAGATTTCAGAATACCTCTTTTTAACATGTCAGGTTAATATTCTTTAATGCATAACTTTAATTTCAGAAGATCATATTTGCTAGGTTAGAAAAGTAAGAAAATATGTGTATATGTATATAAGTATACATATATGAATGACATGAAATTTTAAACATTTTTCATTTTGAAGGAAAATTAAAATACCAATTGCTAAATAATTAAAATGTAGCTAGGAATAAAGTTGTAAATATACATTTAAATTTTCTCCATATTGGAAACTTTGTGTTGTAACAATTTATAAGCATGATTAAAGAAAGAAAGAACGCTTAACATATATCTGTTAATGACTGCATTTTTGTGACTAGTCAATGTGAAATGATTGTATTTTAACCCTTGCTTATTAATGATGTGTTGTTGGCCTTGTGCTTTTCTTAATTCACATGTATGTTGTATTTTTATTCCTTGAACCAATACCTAAAATGTTTTAAGTCACTGAACCGATTCTGTATTGTAAAGAATGCCTCTTTTCTTTTGATGGTTTTTTTAAATAACAAATTGTTAATTTTTCTTATTAAACATTTAATTGTTGAATAGTATATGTTTTCATAATTTTACTGAGTATGTATATAAGCTACTGCTATTTTTATGTAATCCTATTAGAAACTAACATTGGTTTTTAAAAATAAGATATATTGTTGAGCTATCAATTCTTAAATGCTAGGAATTTTAATATTCATATATTATAAATAAATAAAAATTTATGGTATAAGCAAACTTAGTATATTAATAGATGTACTCATGCCCAGGATAGTCTTTAAAAGGTGAGTAAAATTTTTATTTTTCTTTTATAAAGTGAGGGGCACTACATGTAACATAGCCTATTTTAGCAAATGCTCTTTAAATAAATTTATATTAATTTTTCTAAATTTCCCCATAGGCCTCATTTAAGTGATTCATTTCCTATAATGTTTTCATTCTGTACATAAAATCAGTTCATATTTGGTAAGAAAATAATGTACATTCCATTGTTTTCTGGAGTTAATGATGATCCAACAGAAGTAAAGAGAATAATTTTTTCATTTAACATTGTTTTTTCTTCTAAAATTAAGAAAAAATATTTTTTACAAAGATGAAAGCTTGGTACTTGAACCCTCTTGATCCTAGTGCTTTTCCAAAAGCATTTCTTTTTAAAATAGTACCTTCCTGTAGTATTGTGTTAAAACATATATATGTATACGTGTGTGTGTGTGTGTGTATGACTACATTTCTATTAAGATACAATGGAATGTGACAAATAAAAACACTTTCAGAAATGAGCATGGGGTAGCAGCACACACCTAGTAAATTTGCAGCTTGTCAGTTTAACAGTTTTGTGTTACAAAAGAACATTGAGGGTCTGAGTGGAGGGGTTGGGCTCCCGCTCAAGGTGGAATGCACTCAGAAAGGAACTTGTTACTGCCTCCATTGCTCCTAAGTCCAGCAGCAGCCAGGGGAATAAGGTAATGTGTGGGGAAATGGTTTCAAGAAGCTGTCAATTCTTTGTAAAGGGCAGTGTTCAGTAAAACCATAGTAACTGGTTATTTTCTTAAATTTGGAGAAGACACATATAAGTATAGCAAAGGGCTGAAAATCTACTTCATTACCAATTTATCATGGAAATCTACTGAAATAATGTTTCTATTGTTATATCTTCCAACATATCCTTCTAGAAAGCCTGAACTAGTATGATATATTCCATTACAACCTGGCAAGAGATGAGTGGTGTTGAAGTCTCTATGCTAGAAGAATAGTTTAGTTTTTGTGTAATTGCAACATCTTTTTCCCTTTTTTGTGTATGCATAGATTTCTTGCATCACCAAAAGGGAGGATATGGACTGATTTATAGTTTGCCATAGCTGTGATGCTTTGAAAACAGTTTTGGAGGCACAAATGGGCCTTATAGTTTTGGCATGTGCAATCTAGGCAAAATTGAAGGAGACAATCTAATGATGAGAATGTAAAAAAGACATTTGTGTGTGTTTGGTTGAGTGAAGTTAGAATGTAATTTGAAATAACTAAAAAGTTAACTTTATCATTATAGTTTATAGTTAACTAAAAGTTTATATAGTTTATAGTTAACTATAGTTTGTAGTTAACTATATCATTAAATTGTGATATATATATTTTTCTTAATATTAAAAAATAGACAATCATGTTTCTGTTGAAATTCTATTTTTCCAGGCATAGTGCTTCAGAATATTTAAGAATCTCTGGAAATAGATTTTTAGATGTTTTAGAAGAACATAGTCTCAGTATTCTACAATATCTATGTGCTATATAAGACTATATATATGATATACAGGCATTATT